TAGCTACTTTTAGCTATATATTGAGTCCACTACAGCTCTGGTGTGTCTGAGGATTTAGGCCACTTACAGAATAGTCACAAAATTGATGCGCAATGCTGCATTTAGAGTCTCAGCAGCCTCAAGGCAAATTTTCCATCACGGACACTTCTGAGCGGTTGCCATATCATTATCTCCATCACACAATTAGCTGAGGGCAATAATCTACCCACCTATCACTAAATTCTTGTGTGTCATGCTCACCTGTGCACCCACTGTTGAGTAACACTGCTCACGCATGCCCTCTGACTAGTGCTCTGCAAGATTATTATTATAATTAATTGTAATAATAATAAAACTCAATATTACTATTAAATACTGGACTGACCCATATTATAATTATACTCAGAGCTATGCAATAGATCTCATTACACTACTATTATATTATAATACTAGATTGTATTTAATCATAATCAGACTCTTGCACAACATATAGTGAATCCTGACTGAGGGGCCATTGCAAGTCACTCGGAACCATCAATTTCAATTGTTGGGATTTAGCAGACTGCCATTTCTGGTTGATCTAACTACGGCCCGAGTCTAAGGAATTATTTTTTGAGCATCTAAATGGATGCTTGAAATCAGTGCTTGATCTGTCTTTAACCAGGCCTTGGTGTGCCTTCCCCAATGTTGACTTAGAGAGTGTATGGTTGGTGGGCAGACATCAGGTGCACCTTGAGATTACTCCCTGAGCTTGTTATGAGGGTGAACTTGTTCTTCACGAGCAGAACTGGGTGCATGTTGGGTATGTTTCTGGCTACCATGGATATCATTAGATACAATTACACTACTATTATATTATTATTATACTACTCTGCCAATAAATATGCAGCTTTGAGTTCAAAGTAATTATACATAATATTATTATTCAGCCTTTTAACATATTTAATAATAATTGCAGAGCACTACCTCTGATGTGTACTCAAGGGTGCGCTTGATCACGTGCTTTGAGACCATATCGACAGATGAAGGGGGCCTGTCAAAAACCTATAGGGGGCCATTATCACCTGCAACAACTGAGAAGTATCAGCTATCTCGCCACTTATTGTTAACTTGGGTATAGTCATCAATATGAGACTTGCCTTCAAGTCTCCGAACATGCCCCACAGGAGAGTGTTATTGGTGCGGCAGGCAAGTGGACTTACTCCAAACATTCTTATATCTACTAATTAATGACTACATACTACTGTACCATTTCGATCTATTCGACATGTCACAGGTCATATGCCCTTCTGTTGTGTCGAAATTTGGCAGCTGTCACAGGTCACATGTAGTACTGTCGGAAGGTCTTTGCATGTCACTGCCCCAAAGGGCACCCAAAATGGGTGAAATTGCCTAAAAAGAGTTCAAAATGTCGAAAATTTCAGCCAGTCATGGGTGTCCGGCTGAGTTGTCTACCTGTTGAATCGGTACCATGCTGTCACACATCACACTAGGTGTCAAATAGATCGAAATGGTACAGTACTATATTCAAGTTTCGCTGTAATATCATTAAACTTTTCAGAACAGATTTTCCCTCCAGAGTCAGCTGAACCTACATCTCATAAGCTGCCACCTGCCCTAAATTCAGAGAAGTGCACACTACTCTCTTCCTACACTCGTGCTAATCTCTCAGCTGATAATTTGATATTGGATACATTTAGTCACCTCAGGGCATGAAGGCAGTTCCCAGATTTGCCAGATTTCAGCCAATAATTAAGCACTGGACCCGCTCACCTTCAATTTCAGAACCACATAAATTTGTCAGTGTGTTACACCTTGAAGTGGATGTCGACCTGATTGATTTTAGGCATACAAACGCATTCACCAACTGAGGTCTCAGAACTGGATGCACGAAATGTTATCAGTATACAAAGTCAAGATTGTGGAAGAAGATCTTACTATGTTCTTCGGCATACAGAAGCTGCCCGAGCCCAAGGTAGCCCGAGAAATTCTGAACATTTACCTTTCCAACCAGCATGCCCAACCAATGTCCTACACATCATCCCTCTTTTTTGATGCACTCTCGAAGCCTCATGACACAGAGGTCTCTCGGCTCTATTCATACTATTACAGCTATTTTGCAAGTAAAGTTTTTGAGACCCTTGCCTACAGTTTTGGACTGAACTGCAAGTAGCTGCCACCATCTGAAGGACATTTGACATCATTCTGCATCACGGGTTTAGTGACTGGGACAGCTCTCCCCATGAGCAGCATGCATATTGATAGTGTTGCAGGGTCCAGTCTGGTCTGGTCTTTTGCCTTTTTTGGCCAGGACCAGGACCAGGACCAGGAATGGACCAGTTAAATTCTTTAGGACCAGGACCAGGACCAGTCCTGTTAGGACCAGTAAGGACTACAGTCCTAGGTCAGTCTAGACTGGTCCTGGACTGGTCTTTGTTTACTTTGACTCATGTTAAGAGATTAAGACATGGTATACATAACTTGTGAGGGGGTTGTACTTCATTATTACTAGTGTTTTTGCATTATATCTAAGCCTTACTTGAATTCTAGTTTTCTATCATGCTAACTTCTCAGCTTTGGCCTAAATTTTGATGTAAAACAGGCTTTAATAGCACCTAAACAGTATCAGTCCAGGACTGGTCCTAGACTGGTCCTGGACCAGTCCTGGCAGTCCTGAGAATTCTGAAAATCTTCAGGACCTGAACCTGAACCAGGACTGGACCAGATGGCAGTCATATATGGTCCAGTCCTGGTCCTGAGGCAGTTCTGGACCAGTTCCAGGACTGGACCCTGCAATGCTACATATTAACAATGGGCAAAATATAAGGGTGTGGGACAATAAAAATTATATACGCCTCATCTTAGTTGTGAGAGTGCATAAATGACTGCTCACAAAGATGATCACTGACATGTTATGTACATTCAGACATCTAAATACCAGTGAGATCAGGTGCCCCAGCTTATTGCAAGTGCGATCACACACTTCACCGACAATCAATCATTCCGCAGGAATAATGGACAGCCTCTGATAAAGTCCCTGCTAATGCTTGGGATCAGTTGGATGGCATACACTCCAGTATTCTACAAGATTCTTATCACTGAGGAGCTTGTGTGCACCATTACTTCATGCCATAGCGATGTCAGTGCTCTCCCAGAAATGATCATCCACAAGCTGGTACCACCTGTGAAGAATGTAAAATGCTATTTGAGCGAGACCCATGGCATGCTTCTGTTGAAGAATCACCACCTAGCCTTCTAATGCTTGCAACAGTTCAAGAAATTTATGAAACAAAGCGTAACTGGGGAATGAATTAGTCATCCTGATGATTTCAAGTATCTAGCTATAGTGGGAGGGTACGCAGATTCAATTCAGAATTGAACAAGACCAATTTAAATGGGTGAACAAACTGGAGGAATCATTCTACTAATAGACTGAGGACGTCTACATCTCATGCCCAAGTACGCTCTCCCCATTGTTTCATTCCTGTCCTCATACACCGATCGTACTCGGAGTCCTCTGTATACTGAGTCGGGATCATTGAATCCTCATGAGCCACAAGCTGATGAACCGTCTGAGCCATGCAACACATTGTCTCTGGGCCACGTCCCTCCTGCCTGTGGTCGTGGTCATGATCTGGTTGCTTGTGTGCCTGTCCCTCCAGCTTGTAGTTTGCTGATGCAGTGTGTGATTGTGGACACAACCGCTAGCACTGCTACGCGTGTTCTAGCCAAATCCCGAGCCCAAAACTTCACTTGCCAGCAGCCATTGCACTTGTAATGCTCGCAGTGGCTCTCAAATATTATGAAGGTCCTGAGCAGTGAGGGTCACGGTACTGTGCAAATGAGAAATTGGCTACGTCAAGAGGCCAGTAAAGGTGCTCATTCAGCAGTTTTAAGCAGCACCCTTGATACCAGTGGAGGAGCTCGCACAGTCCGAGAAGCATCATCAGTAAGTTTTGTATCCTTGGTAAAACATTCTCTGAGGTGTGCGCATTGTTGAGCCTTGTTGCATCAGCTGCTCACCATCCTTGGGATCATGCAAGTTCTGGACATTGTGCTTGTTCTTCCAGCATTTCGGGGAACCTCATTTTCTGGTCATAGAATTGGTGTTGTCCATGGCGGCTCCCGCTCAGACTAGGACAGCCAGATGGTTTGAAGGAAAGTCAGTGCTGGGACGTGTCATACAACTAGCACCCTTGGCTATGCACTTTCAGCTAGTATTTAGCTATGCCACGGAGCAGAATGACTCGGAAGTCAAAGTCTGAGATCTGATGCACTACAGTGTGTTGCATATGACTCTGCAGTTGCGCGACACGCGATTTCGAAAATCTTTGTTTGTATGAGCCAAATAAGTGACCATTGTCACATTTTCGTGTACCTTCATGTCATCCTGCTAGGCTCACCGTCTGCATCTAGTTGATTCTACCATATGTGTAGTGTAGTGACCTACCTTGTAAGCATTTGAACCGCATACTTCTCGAGCAACCAGACGTCATTAAGGAGTGAGCAAATACAGTAGGACCCTCGAGATCTCTTGGAGGGGCAAACGCTCCAGTACTGCGGCGCAAGATTCTTATCATGGAAGAACTCGCGCATACAGTTGCTATGCGCCATAGTGACGTTGGTGCTCTCCAAGTAACAATTGTTCACAAGCTGGTCCCATCTGTGAAGAACGCCAAGCGGTATTGTAGCGAGACGCATGGCTTCCTTTAAAGAATCACAGAATAGTCATCCGGTGTCTGCAACAATGTAAAGAATTCATGAAACACAGCATACCTGGGCTTGAAGCGCTCGCGAATGGGAATTCTCCTTTCTGTTATCGATTCATTCTGTGTACGACCTCTCATTGTATCGCAGGTTCAACACATGTCTCAACATTCGACTGTCCAATTTATTATGCGAGCTCTGATGACGTAGCAGAACCGTTGCAGCGTATTACTTTGCAATGTCTATAACCATTTGCATGCACATCGGAGACAAACATCTACAACGCTGCTGTTCCTCCGATTCACATTCAGAGATTAGAGGTATTTCAGTAAGAACTCCACCGTAGCCTTGAAAGCACCCTCCTTTCCAGCCTTGACTTTCGGGTTACTCTATGGAGGTAAAGACAAGTCAGAAGGGCAACATCAATTGAACGGAAGGTACGTCACGATGCACGCACCAAGTCGCCGCGGATCGTGAAACCATGGGTGCATCCCTCCCAGTAGGTTCTCTTGTACCCAGGAGCGAATCCAGTCAGAACCACATCCGCTTGCGCCTGTGCTTCTCTGTGCAACTGGTGGTCGATCTCACAGCTGTTGATCAAGAGCGGTGCCTTGGACTCGGCGACGTATCTCTACAAGTATCAATGCCTAACGATGAGAACCCCAAAATGAGCTCTGAGAAGAGGGAAAATGCTCGCCTGATAATCCTCGGGCATCTTCAACAGGGACGGGTGGGAAACGACCGTGACGTCCGTCGCGTTGAGGAAAGCCAGATCGAATGCCGGGCGGGCGCCGTAGCAGAATCCGAGGGCACCAATATTCTGGACGCCGCTTTCTGTGAGAGCTCCAATGACCTTCTCAAGCACCGGCTTAACAGAGTCTCCGGGATGCTTCGCCAACCAGGCCTTCAGGTCGAAGTTTGAGCCCGGAGCCTGGGCATCTGCGGGACACGGGTCGCCGTGGAGGATATCAGGGACGACAACCTTGAAGCCATTGCGAGCGTAGTCATCGGCGAGGAGCTGGATACAGAGAGTGGTTGATTCCCATGTTTTCATGTATTCCGCAGTCAGAGGACGGCATACCTGGTGGTTCGGAAGGTGTATTCCAAAGATATCGATGAGATAGAGGATAACCTTGTCCTTCGGATAATCGACTGTAGGAGTAGCGACGTAGCACTCTACACCACCAATCTGCTCAAATTTTCCTGCGTATAATGTACCAAGTTTAAGAGAGAAGAACACAAGTAGACGAGACTTACCTTCAGCTACGCCTTCGTGGCGGACGCCTATCCAAGTGGACGGATGTCATGATAACAAATGTTCAAACACGATAAACGTACCTTGAATACACTGTTCGCACAAGCTCATCGCTGCGTTGACTTCTGGAGAAGGGGACGTTTACGCAGGCCTGCGCTCTCGAAAGTGGGTAGAAATACGCAGCTTCCATATCAATTATACGCACACAGTCATCATATCCGATTCACAATGCGGATGAGGGAAGCCATTTGGAATTGGCACAAGGAACAACACAAGTCCCGGGCTTGATTCCAGAAATGACCTTCAATGTCATGAGAACCGGAATGGTTGCACCAAAGTTCTGATAAGACATGGAGAGCGGATGCAGGCTCCTATGCGCTCCACTGAGGACCATGTGGATGTTTTCAGAACCACTGCTCCCTCAGAAGCTTCGTGCTACGAGGTCACCAAGGGCGTATCGATATCACAAACTATGCCTGGCCACCTGATGCCGACCAACGGTGCCTCAATGAATCGGAATCTGGATGTAACGAAGGCTAACAATGGCCATGTTTCATTTTCTCAATCCCTAAAGGATGAGGGATTTGGCTAGAGAATGGCACGGTCAGCAGGCACTGAACTCTCAGAGGGAATTCGAAGTTCAGTTGAGTTCTAGTACTTTCCTCTCGGTCCGGGGGAAGGTCGTCGACAGGCTTAAGGTTCGGTTACGCCATGTTCAGGATCACTTCACAATTCAGACCTATCAGAACACTCCTACCTATCTGATTCAGTCGAACTGAAGTTACTAAACATAACCGTTGAAACGTTGAACGTTCTAGTACTTAGTACTGTTGTAGTCGCAGCGCACTGGCCCGCCAACGGCCGGCAACTCCCGTGTCTTCAGTCACACTGACATCTCCAGCGATGCAAATATCTTTCTCTCTGACCTCTCGAAATCTATGCCAACAAAGACCAGGGTTTCTAGATCCAACTCAGCTTCTCGTTAAACCCTTGAAGCTCCGAGCTCCAAGTACCGAGTTTATACCGACCGGTCATGAGGTACACTCACTACCATCTTGTAGGGTACTATGCACGAGCAATAGCAAGGAGGGTACTACTCGAACTCAAGTAATTCAGAGCCGGCAGTTTGGGCTAGGTACTAGCACAGCGAACTCGTTGAGCGACATCACTAAGGCCACTGTTCTACACGGTTGGCTTGTGAAGCCGCCTTGCCGAGGCTGTCCGATGATGCACTTACTTCCCCGTCGTGGAACTCCTGCCCTCTGCCAGAAAAACAACGAAATGAACATCGTTGTGTCGGCGCTATTGAATCGACAAGTATCCCTGTTTATCGATTGCTCTCATCTAGAATATTGGACTGTTGAGAGCTGCAGCTGACGATATTGTGGTTAAAAGAATTTGCTGAACTGTGAAAAGCGCTGGGATAAAGTCGCATCCACTAGCTGTTCGGTACATGCGATGGCAGACACTACTGATTCTTTGGATTTCACATCGGAATGTACATTCGCCACGTCAAGGTTATCCTTAACTCGCGCGTTTTGACATAGTGCGGTTCGTCGTTGCTTCGGAGCTGCTCCATTCATCACCTGCTGAACATAGTATTCTGCTCTGTTATCTGGCCTGATTTCGAAACCTCTGTCAGTGCGACTCATGTGAACGACTCCAAAATATCGCTTGGACCAACTCTCAAGTCCTGTAAGCTGGAGCCCATTTGTCTGTGTAGCTAACACCTGTCATTAATGCTTGACAGGCGTTTGGTACACTCCCCAAATTTACTGGCTTCCATCTGCAGTCCCCTCGATATCGAACCATGCGCTTTGGCAGCGTGCTATCTTAGCATGCGTCTGCTGCCGAGTCCACACCATGCACTAAAGTACATCTTCATTCGTATTGTAGCCAGAAAATGCAGGTGAGGGTGAATTATCGTACACTCCGCTGAATAGTCATGGGGAAGGTCTCGTGGTTCCACAAGGAGAACCGAGCACGTTCATCTCGCACCTGATCGTGGATCATCAGCCCACGTAAAAGGATTCGGCAGCTCACGCAGAAGGTGCAGAAGCAAGCAATGGGGTGCGGGTTCTCGTGAACCCACACTTGACTCTAAAGCGTCTTCTTGTAGCATGCCGTTTTCTCCGTTCCTCGGCCTTTTCTCCCGCTCCTTTGATAACTTCTCGAATTTCAACTGCAGAAGTTCACAGCCGCTGGAATAGCTTAAGAATTCGCGTGGGATCATCAAGTTGCCACTCACCGCCGACAGGTTATAATTGCGGACTGCCTTCTGATACCATTTCGCCTCCCTCCATTCCATTTGTCTGACCGTTCTCACAGCATCAATATGACTGCTGTGCTCTCCTACGACATCGGGAACAGCTTGCCCCACCCCGGCTTCAAATTCAACACCAGTGCTGCACCACCTTACAGTAAATTTAAGACGCCCAGCTGGGTGCGTCATGCACCAGTGACGCCTAGTGAAGCCAATGAGATCAATGGGCTCGGAGAACCGTGGGACTGGCGTAGGCCGTCATTCAGAGGTATTGACTTGACCAAGCCCGACCCGCGAGTCAAGCCTAACCTGTACGAGATCTTCTGCGTGCGTTTTCTCTTCGTGTTTTGTCGATGTTCTCTAATATCAAGCGTCTCGTTTCAGTCCGACCCAGTCGCTCGCATTGTCTTCAAGGACGTTAATATCATCGACTCAACCGGTAAGGCGCCTTACCAGGGTGCTGTCTTGATCAAGGGAAATCGCATTGTTTCCGTCCGTGGGAGCGTTTCTGAAGCCGATTGCCGTGGTGCCCGTGTCTTCGAGGGAAGAGGCCGGACGCTTATGAGCGGGCTAGGTTAGTTACTAGATGCGTCTCACGTTTTGAGCGGCCTTACCTAACGGCTGATTTGTTCTAGTGGATGCGCACACTCACTTGACATGGAACAATGCTGGCACGCTCGAAGCCCTTGCAGCCATGGGTGTAGAAGAACATACCATTTTTACCGCACGTTCTGCTCGCACCTATCTCGACTGCGGTTACACTATGACCGTCGGCGCGGCTGCAGCTAAACAGCGTCTGGACATTGCCATTCGTGACATCGTTAACAAGGGCGATCTCCCTGGTCCCCGCATTCTCGCTAACGGCCAGGAAATTTCTCCGCTTGAAGGCGCACTGTGAGTTCTATTGTATCAATGTTTCATAAAATCTAATGTGATTGCGTCTGTCACAGTATTCCTTGCATTACTGCGATCGCGAATACTCCCGAGGAAATTAGAGAGGTCGTAGCAGGTCATGCTCGTGATGGTTGTGATCTCATCAAACTCAACATGTCTGGCGATGAGATTACCGAAACACTTCGCTCTGAGGATACCACCTTTACGGATGACTTGGTTGCGGCAGCCGTCGAGGTGAATTTCTGTCTCCGTGACTGGGTCAGTTCTCAAGAGCTGATGTACTGGTCGTCAGGCTGCTCACAGCCATGGCATGCGTGTGTGTAGCCATGCCCGATCTGATGAATCTATTCTCCAATGCTTGCAATACGGTGTCGATATCATCTACCATGCCTGTAAGTGCCGTTATTATGGCAGTCATGGTCACTCGCTTACCCTTCGCACTGCACACAGCTTTTATCTCGGACGTGACCATGGATGCACTCGAGGCCCAGAAGAGTCGTGTATTTGTCGCACCAGCACTTAACTTCCCATACGCCACCCTTTACGATGGGGAGGAATACGGTTACGACCTTTCTCGTGCGGAATCAATCGGATACGTGCGTGAGCTCGAAGTAGCGATTGAGGCATGCAAAGAGATGCGCAAGCGCGGCATCAGAATACTGCCCGGCGGTGATTATGGGTACGTTCTTCATTCTTCATTTGCATCCTGTACTTCTCACTGCGAATTTAGTTTTGCCTGGTCGCCCCACGGTACCTACCGGGATTTGGAGCACTTCGTGAAGCTCCTCGGGTTTACTCCGGAAGAGGCAATTATGTCCGCTACTGCTCTCGGTGGTGAGATCATGATGCGGAATGACCTCGGTAAAGTTCAGCCGGGCTACCTCGCAGATGTCATTCTCGTGAATGGGAATCCCCTGGAGGACATTACTCTTTTGTCTCACCAGGAGAATATCGATGTCGTGGTCGTGGTAAGTCTCTTACTAGTGCACTACGCCGGCCGCAGTGTAGTTGACGATTGATTGCAGAACGGACGCATCCACAAATCTTCTAGAAAGGATCAAGAGCCATGGTTTGAGCCGACACCCAGCTTGCTGAGCGACGTTGAACGTTCGAAGGGTGATCATGTCAGCGGCAAGCTTGCGAAGGATCTCGCTGGGATGACACTGTAAGGGCGTTGTGCTGGCAGCCGGTCTAAGTGTAGTCGTTGTTTCTGTAATTCACCCTTCCACGATCTTTGTGACTCCAAAACAACAGCTGTATGTACGATATATGCATTCGGTCCCATACATATGCGACATCTTCGAGCAATGGTGGAACCGCAGTTTCAATGCGAGCTACCATTGACTCACAGACTACAGGTATACATCCGATAGAATACACGAGATAGAAAGTCCTATCAATGACCACAGAACAGGAGAAGGCGAAAATGGTAGCGTCGACAGCGATATTATGTTGTCTCGATTAGTATGGCATGTGGTTCTAGACATACAATGCAATCATTAGCACATCCGGTATCGTAGCAAAGTTCTCATGTATACGGTGTACAACGCTCTATATGCAGATGGTATTGTCAGCATGAAAAATCGACGGCGCTACGCCATGCATTGCTTGAGCTCAGTGATGTGAAGGTTGCGACGTCTGACGATTTCTACATGCAGGATGGTAGGACGAAGATCATACTCAAACTGGGCAGCAAGGGCGTGTACATATTAGCACCAGCCAACAAAAGATTGCGGAACATACCTGCATCAGCTGGTCGGCTTCCCACATACGGTTGGGCAGACTCTCGAGGGCGACGTAGACGGCAGGAATGGACTGGCAATGCAACAATTCCTGCTCGTTCGAATGTAGGATGGCGAAGGCGACGCGGAATAACACGTCCAAGCCGTCGACCAGGAAGATATCCCAGACTCTGAACAAAGTCTAAGGCAAATATGAGACAAGCGATATGACGTATTACGACCGACGATACTCACCTCTACGGGCAGACAATCTGTAAACAGTGAGAGGAACCACGAGAAGCAGATTGCAGGCAAGTCCACTCCTAACTCAGCCAAATGCGAATGTAACTTCGGCATTAATTCCTTCACGTAGTCCAGGAGGACAAGAGGGCATGCGCGAGAGCTGAGGAGCGAAGGAGAAAAGAAATCCTCCGGAAGGATCCGCTCCACCATTGCAGCGAGTACCCAGAACGCCTCTTCCTCATCCGCATGTACCAGCAGAAGTGTTGACGCGACAAGATTCATGCCTTGGCAATACCCCACCGCTGTGTTCCGCCTAGAGAGGCTAAATAAGTCAATCACTATAGAAAAACAAGCAACGAACCGGCTGTAAGCAATTAACACTTTCCGTAGCTTGTCTACTCCTGCACCGGTCCTGCCGAAGAAAATATTGAGAGGCATGGTCCTGCCAACGTCCTTCTCAATTTCTCTCGCTACGCTGTTCTCGCTGTCCACCTCGGAAAGTAAGTCAGTGAACACGCCGGGCTCGCGCATTTCCAACCCGCCGCTACACTCAAGCCAGGCCTTCGAACGATACATCAAAGGAATACCATTCCTCACGAGTTTATCAAATTCTTTCTTCTCGTCGCGATTAGAGGAAAGGCCAAGCTGAGCGAAACCGATGAGACCATCTGTATGTAAAAGTTCATCCTCTTCCAAGGCAATGTCGAGTCCAAGCAGTACCGCCGCACCGCCACCTGCACCCGATGCAATCGCTCTCGAGGTCGAGGAGAATCCCTTCGTGGAATTGCTCCGGAGCTTTAGGAAGACGTCCCATTCTTTCCGCCGAGCGGTCTGCCGCTGATCATGTATCTCAATCAACTGAGCTAGCAGCCTACGGATGGTGTGAACGCAAACGTGGCGAGGTGTCTCCGCATTTACGGAGAGGATAGCGCTGTTCCGCTTCGAAGCTGCGCCGTTCGGCGCTGATGAGCCCATCAGTGTCCTTCGCCTCCTGCCTTTGGAAGAAGACGGCGATGCGCCCCGAGATGCCTGTGATGAGTTCGACACTGAGTCTGCGGTGGGAATGCTGTACAACGTCTGCCTTGTACTCGATGTGTTCACGCTGACAGTATCCGCGGCATCCCCACCTTCGCAATCGCACTGTGCCTTCACGATCTCGATCGTCTCTTCGGGTGTCTCATTCTCGTCCGGCCAGCTGTTGTCCTCCTTGCGGTCGGCAATCTTAATCCCAGTGAGACAAGCAGGAGCAGTGTTCTGGCACTCCTTTGCGCGGATGAGCAGGAGAACGTCGTACTGCGAGACGTCATAGATAAACCCATACCGATCGGTCATACCCTCGTAGTTGTGCTCGTCCAACACGGAAAGCCCAGAGGCAGTGTCTGGAAGGGGAATAGTAAAGTGGAAATCTCGTGAAGTGAGTGGAGTGTATGTGCGCGACAAAAACTGCGTGGGTGGTTTCGCATTAATGGGGATGATCGACTCCAGAGGGACTGACCCAGGTTTCGTGGAAGGTGTAGCTTGTAATGCTGGTGTTCCCGTCTGCGTATTCGCTGCAGACGACGGATCGGTAGAGGCACGATTGTGCACAACACCGGCAACGTTAGATATTTTCTGCTGCTGAGCCATGAAGGAGCCAAAGAGTGGAGAGGCAAACCCGGGAATATTCACACTGGGCTTTCTCGCTTGTGCTGGTCTGCGGGCCTGGTCGTTGGAGAATGTACGATTGACTATCGGTGTGAGATCCGCGTCATGGCTGGGCGGCTGTTGAGTAGCGTATGGATCGTAGTGGTCAACTTTGTCCGTCCTCCTCTCCTTCCTCTCCTTGGCAGTTTCACGGAACTCGACGCCTTCCTCTCGCGCATTGCGTACGAGCTCAAGCGCGAGGTTCGCGATGAAGGTGCTTGTATCACGCCCTTGATCAGCAAGAACGCTGGCCGGATCAGAGGTCATGACGCGAGTGGCCTGCAGGATCGCACGCAGCGACGATCCCTGGGGTGGCTTCTGGTCCGACATCGACATCGACGGTGCGAGCGTGGATGACGAAGACGCTACTGGAGGCGGGGATACCTCCCGCGGGGGTGTCGTGAACGCGCTTCGCGACGGCGACGTCGCGGCAGAGCGTGTCTTGAACACGTCGGTCTCTGTACGCGGCTCGAACGCGGCGATATCGGTCACGGACATGTTGCGCCTCTTCCGAGACCCGAGCGAACTCACAGAAGGATTAAGCAACGAGAATCCCAGCGTACCGAATACGCTCCTGCTCGCTTTGCGCCGTGCAGCCCTATTGGGAGTCTGAGGTGCAGACGGCAGTGGAGACGTTTCGCTGGAGGGTGTCTGAGACGAGCTCGCGTGGCCTTCCTTCCCAGCATCCTGTGCCACGCCAAGTTGAGGAAGCAATGGCCCACGCCCGTTTTGCTTGCCTTTCACCCACCACGTTCCCATCCAGTCCCCGATCGAGGGCCGCCCCAACTTCGTCTCGTCGTCTGGGCTCCCGGACTGCTGGTCGGAGGAAGGATTCTCTGCCGACGGACCTAGATTTGAAATGGAGACTTCTTCTTCACTTGCAACGGAGGGCACCGCGGGCGTGATGTGGTCTTCGGAAACAGACCTCGCCAACGGTGCCTCGTCCTCGATCGCCTCCGTTAGTGACTCGGAAAGCGACTTCAAGTCGCCATCGTTAGTACATGGGCTCTCGCAGGAGACACGAACGCTCACCACCTCGCTGTGCTTCCGCTGCACGCGATGGTCCTCCTCGTCGTCGTCCGGGAACAAAGACTGAAGCAACCGCTTCCCTACGTCCTTCTCCGACGGCTGAAGTTCTCGTATCAACGCTTGAGCGCGCTCCCGCCGCGCCGCATCCTTTTCCAGCAGCATCTGCCGGCTCTCCTCCAGCTCCTGCCGCGCACGCGACAGGCGGTGCACCGCCGAGGACAGGATGCGGATCACGGAGTGGTACGGGTGGTTAGCCACGTATGACGGAGATGCGACTGCGCTGTAGCCTGACACCGTCGACTTAATCGCTTCGTCAGAATATTCGTGCCATTTCGTATGCAGCACCTGTAACTCGGGGATCGGTCCTGCGTCGCCGTTCGTCTCCGCGAATAGACCGTGAAGGCCATCGTACTGCATCGTTGTAGGTGAAAGGATGGTCCCGCTGGTCGATTCCACGACGATGAGCGGCGCGGGCTTGATCGACCTGTTAAGCACACGATCAGTCAGTCTGCCGTTTGTTGGTCGATACCGGGTACCACTGACTTCCGCTTGCCCCCCTTACCATATCCGCGAACACTGCCATCCCAGCTGGCATTCGTGTTCTTCGTTTGTTTCTCCGCGCTGTTCTCCAGTTGCGCTTTGAGGTCAAAGTAGCTTGTGGCCGGCCTCGTCTCTTCGACGGAGTTCTTGGCCCGAGGCCGACGTCCTCGAGACGGTTCATCGAACGACAATGGGTGCAAATGCGTAGGCGTCGTCACCGCCGCAGACGATGTCGACGCCATGAATCAGGCAGTGTAGAGTAAAGGTACTTAGAAGTTCAGTAGCATGCTAGTAGATCGAGGTCGCAGCCGGATTCCGATGTCCAAGCATTGGAGGCACGTGACCGGCCATAAGTCTACGCCACGACGGCATTCAGATACCCTCATTGTGATCTCCTCTCTGAACCCTTCTTCTTAAATGGGCTGGTTTGGTGGTGTGGAGTCGACGAAACCCGACCCAGCGTCCAGGAAAGACCGACAGAAGTGTTGGGAGAACAGGGACGCCTATTTTACATGCCTTGATGGCGCCGGTATTGTAAAGCCAGGAGAAGAGGGTAGCATCTGTGCCGCATCGAAAACAGCCTATGAACAAAGTTGTGCAAAGAGCTGGGTACGTGGCGTTGAAAGTGCTCCGCATTTTGGTCTAATTTGTTTTGAAGATTGACTACTTCAACCAGCGTCGAGTACTTGCGGAGCAGCAACAAGGGATTCTCACGCAGAAGAGCAACCAGGATCGAGCTTCAAGGCTATAGCGATCATTTAGAACACCCTCCAACGTGCGACACACAGGATGTTTAGGACACTGGATGGGGGCTCAATGAGGCGTTATTTGAAATTACCGTCCTGGGCGTGCAAGAGTATCTTATTCTACTGCGAGCCACGCTGGAATATATCCGCATGTGAGTTTGCGGGCTGGAAGGTTTCTCCAGAGTTTGGTGCGAGGAAGGTGCGTGTTGACGCTGGAAGAAATGACTAATTATTAAACAGAAATTCGACTGATATAGGATCGTTTATTGTGTTATCAGTGATCACGATATTAATGCACACACAACTTTCTGTCCTGCACAGACCATTCGTCTCTGACAGCCAGCGTTGCATATGCCATTCTCTGTTGTTGTTCGGACATTATTGATTGACATTGACGTGGATGGGAGCAGTGCATGCTCATGGTGGTAAGTACTCTTGTACTGGAGGATTGACCGCATGCTCCGTAGCTTCTCTTCTCTGCTTCGGCGCATGTTTCGTCACAAGCGTGAATTTGTGATGACATGAGCATCACTTCGCCTGCGCGAGTCCGATTGTGTACGTGAGGGAACTTTAACTCTCACGAGCAGAACAAACAGCAACTGTCTCAGATTTGACGGATAATTTTGTGAGTTTTGCGAATGATCTCGATGTCACTGACGCCGTGTGTGTACGTATCCAGCGCCGTTGTTGCCGGAATCGAATACCTTGTATGACTGGTTAGACCAACAATTCGTTGATGTTTTGCAAACGATGCCTCAAAGTAGTCTTTCGTCCGCGGAAGAACACGCCGCTGTTTTATTGGCCAGTGATTTGTTAGCGGTTGGCGGGTCTAGGAATCCCGGATCATTGCAAGGGGTCCATAGTCGCTGGCATCACCTTCGTTGGCGTTGTTCACGCTGCCTTGTTCTGGTCACCCCGGTTTCTCCGTCAATCGAGAACTGATAGTCTAGCAGGTGGGCTTGTTCTCACCGTGGCGGGGTGTCAACGGGTGCTTCATCTGACGGCTGTACAGCCTCCACCGTTCTGTGCTTCCATCGCTACTGATAGTCACCGCTACTGCGGCTGCATCCCCTCTCTTAAAACGTGAGCTGATCGCCATCCCATGATTCCAATTAGCTCCATACCGCTGCGCAGTCGACCATCCGCGACACGCTCTTGTTCGACTGTTCTATGGACTATTCGAACCTTTTCTTCTCCGGATTCGTGGCAGTCTCGACAAAGAGTTCGAGGAAGAATGGGCACAGACGGGCGTCCTTAGCGGTGATCACTCCTCCACGAAAATGGACACGGCCATCTATGTCTCCCATCAACGAAAGGTCTCCATCGCTTCCACCAATTCCTGCGCCAGACGACGCGCACTCCTCCCCCTCGAGCAATACTCGGCGCCCTTCGTTCACGGGTCGACCACACGCGGGACCTTCCAGGCCACTCACCATAGCTGCAAGACAGGGTACAGAGCCCCCCACCGATCCCTGGGACGAGCCGAGGGCTCGCAGGCGGGCGCGCTCCCTGAGTGTATGCTTTCCACGGTTTGTCACAGCGCTTCCATTGTTGGCCGATCATCACTGAAGGTGGCAACTCCAGTGATGTTGATGACGCCGCTGAAACGTTACTGGGGGCATCACCAGAACAAATATCTCCTCTGTCCCCTCCAACCTTCCGCCGCAATCTCATCGACACTTGTTCTCCTGGCCCAGAGCTCGCGTCCGATGCGACAGCCATAGCACCCCCCGTAGCCGACAGCCCCGTATTCTCAGCCCACCGCACTGTGACATCTGTTCAAACACCGCCTCACGCTACACATCTCCCGGGTAGCGAACGTAGCCAATCGTCAGGACACAAGACAGGTGGCTGTTCTGACAGTAGCCTTATAGCGGCGTCACCGCTGATGGAGAGAGGTGGGGGATGGAAGGACGACCTTGCCACTGATTGGCGCCAAGTAATTGATGACCTCTTGTGGGACGACTTGTAGGCCGTCGCCTTCATCATGATCGGTTTCGACGCTACGCCACCTTTCTCTTTCAATTGTTCTCTTCGTGGACCATCCATCATCTCACTCTGGACAGTACTTTTCTCATTGCACTAAGTTATCCTCAATATCTTCTTCCTTACTTTCAAAATGATGGTTATTTACCTTTTTCGTCGTATGTTGTACTTTCATATGGCCTGCATAATGCATTTTTTCATGATTACGATACGACAACATCACCTATCGTATTCTCCCTGAGTGCGAACTCTAGAGTTTGACTCTATAGATCGCTGCATCTATGCTCAAAAAAATCGAACCACTCACTGACTATGATATGGTCACATTTGACGTTTCTGCATCGTTGACTATTTGATTCGTTGTCGGATACATTGATGATTCGTCCGGCCGCGGGTGCCCCCCTTCCCAAGTCTGCGATATAAGCGCCCGTAAGTATGCTCTTTGCTCCAGCGCTCCGCTCGGCGCCACTTACTTGTTACTTTTGCGCAGTCACGGTAATGGTTCGCTTCAAGGTATGGTGTTCTTTTAGCTACCACTCTACAGCTATACCGAAATATATTCCTGAATCGTGCAGAACCGGTGGTTACTCGTCGAGTTCATTCCCTGCTCGCGATCCCCTGCTGCAGTGGTAGAACTAGATGCCCCCAGCGTCACTTCTGGGGCTAGTGAGATGAACAGCAAACAGATCTGGTCTGCGCTGAAGCAGAGTATCATCATTCATTTCGGGGATACAGGATGGGGAGCAGTCGGTGCTTCCCTTAGCAGTACGTCCTCGCATCCTTTACTTTACATTGACCATAGTCTCTTGCACTCCCATTCCGATGACTTTGTCCATTGATTTGTCATCCACGCAGTCAAATACTTCTCCCCTCGAACGAATGTTTGCATCATCCGCGTGGGTCGCGACCAGCACCGCATCGCATGGGCGGGTGTTACGCTACTTACAGCGATAGATGGACAGAGATACGTGCCGAATGTCATACACGTTTCCGGTACGTCGATATGTTTTCTGTTCCGTTCGTAGCCGCTTCTCGAGGGTTGACTGCTGCTCAGGAACCATCAGACATGCACAACTCGCTGCGATCCGGCATAACAGAGAAGTCATCGCACGTTACAGGACGCGGGCAAAAACGCCAGGTATGGTTTCTGCACGTCTATTCGTGTGGACGGTTTGATACATCTGAAGCCACTTGGAATAGCAGCATACCAGGACTCGTATGAGGAATACCTACAGACAAGCACACAAGAAATCGACGCCTTGCAAGACTGAATTATTATTGTCATGCTTACACCCCATCCTCGGCCATCAGCTCTGGGTGGTCGGTAAGGGTACAATCTGCATACTTGAAACCTTAACAAAGCATCTCCGTTGTTATTTGGTCATCGGCGTGGGCATTAAAACTCAGGAGTAATGTGAGTGTAAACTTCGTTCATTGTCCGGCGTGGAGCAAGTTGATGTATAGAATTAGAGTCAACGGTTGTTTTTTCTCTGGCTGTGCTCCGATGCGCGATGTGTACTAGTTGTATGTATGCGTAAAGTAGGATTATATCTCTCTCCGCCCGAGCATCGTGACGGGCAGAGGGCTCTCGTCTACTTTGGAATGGTTAATGTAGAGATCCTGGTGATTTGAACAATGTAGTATGTAGCATGTCAGACAAATTGCCTCGTCCAAGGTCTGCCCTCTTCTCCTGAAATACCGATGGGTCCAGCTAGCGCAAATTTTCTGGGAAACGGAGGCGAATGGGTCGAAGCTAAGTGGAAGGCGGAGATCGCGAAACGAGAGGCTACGATCTAATCTTATCTCCCCAGCATTGGCCTCGACCTCCCCGCGCCACAACTTGAAGGCGAGGATCATAACATGAAATGCTTTCTGCTTCGGTCTGCAAAGCTTCAGCTTCGTTTAATGCCATTCCTCATCTTGCTTCGAGTAGCTTTCGCATCACGTATGAGCTCGGTTTGGTATATCTTTGACATATTTCGGAAGATGAGATGCTTCGATCTTACGACTTGGACGTGCGTCCACTTAACAAGCGGATCCGCAGCCAGCTCTGCCATCCGCGCACCCCTAACTTCGTCGCATATATGAGGGGGTTCAACAAGCCTGGGGCCTCTCACGGCCTTCCCCCTATTCACCATGACCTCTATCAAAGTGAACGTCTCTCAGCACCCCGTCAAGTCTGTGACTGTCTTCCAGTCTTCCACAGCGGAAGTTGGTCGTATATTTTCTCTTGACTTGACGGTGAGTTTCGTAGGCAACATTGGTTAGCTTAACGACTAACGCTATGGTCAGGCGGGTCAGAACACTGTTGAGATTACGGGTCTGCCAAGCTGCATCGACACAGAGTCCGTCAGAGTCACAGGGCTCGGCAGTGGAGCTCGTCTTTTCGACGTCGTATCCACGATCAAGAAGAGCGCTTCGTTCGGTGACGCTGACGCATCTGACTCCATCCGTGAGCTAAAGCGCAAGAAGAAGTCGCTCGAGGACGAGAGAAGAGTTTTGCTGTCGGAGGCACGCTTCCTTTCCAGCTACTCACAGACGCTTTCCAGTCAGTACGTCTCACCAGACGACGCCTTGGAGTTCTTAGATACCTTCTCTACACGCGAGAAGGATGGAGTCCAGAATATTAGCGATCTCACCGAGCGCATTCTTGACCTAGACACGTTGATATGGGAAGAAATGGGAAAGAAGCAAGGCGAAGCTTGTGGTCATGTCGCTGTTGTCATCGTGGCTAAGAGCGACTGCACGGTGGAACTCAAACTTATGTATTGTGAGTCATGTCTTCTTCCGCATGTGCAGCGTACTGACAGTATTCTGGCCTCGTCAGTGGTAACTGGAGCAAGCTGGGAACCTTGTTACGATCTGTACGCGACAACCGTAAACGGACAGCCTGCGCCCTCTGTCTCCCTCCATTATCGTGCGCGCATAATTCAGTCGACGGGGGAGCACTGGACGAACTCCTCTTTGACGTTGAGCACAAGCAGTTCGCAGGCTCTGCGTAACGCGAGTATCCCGGACATCAAGTTGCTCAAATTGCGCAAGCGGTCGCCCTTCATGAGCGTCCCCCAGATCCAGGTAACCGTTAGAATTATCCCTGTTTCCAAGCTTTTACAGAACGTCGAACGTTACAGGGTCAGAATTATAACAAACTCGGGTTTCCCGATGGCTAAGTTCCTTCTCAAGCTGTAGCTGAAAACCAGCAAACCCAGCAACCTTCCACCACGACTTTCGGACCTCCAGGCGTTGGTGCCGCTGCGCGAGGCGTGGCTTCCATGACCGATCACTCCATTCGTTCGAGAGGCCGAGCTTCCTATGCGAACCCTACAGAAGACGCTGTGAACCCACAGCCCGCCGCGGCAGCCCTTGGCGGCGGCATTGCGGCCGGTCAAGCTATACCAGCTGCGTTGGACCAGAATGGCGAGTTCACCTTCGTAGAAGCCGGAGAAAGCGAAGCAGAGCGTGTCGCATCGCAGGATGGGCCCATCACCGAGGGCTCGGCGGCGGTCGTTCGTTCGAGTCCGCTGGCGACCGCATACCGCGTCGAGGGCTCTGCGACTATTCCGAGCGATGGCCTCGCCCACAAAGTCTTTGTCGCTGCATTGGACTTCTCGGTGGAGATGTCACACGTCTGCGTCCCGCGCGTGCGTGCGGCAGTGTTCATCGAGACCAAGATAAAGAACACGAGCGAGTACAATTTACTGCCTGGTCCGGTCAGCGTGTTGCTGGACGACAGCTACGTCTCCAAGTTTGCGCTTCAGGTACGCTGCGGTATGGTTCTTCATAGGACTAGTCTGGACAATTGACACGTCTTCGTAGTCCACAGGGACTAACGACAGTTTCACGTGCACGCTCGGCGTGGACACCTCCTTGCGTGTTACATACGAGCGCTCGAGAAAAACTATCAAGGAAGAGCAACGTGCGTTCGCGGACACCACCAAGAAAACGACGGTCACCGTGCGCGCCAAGGTGGAGAATAGGCACACGTCCGACATCCCCACGCTTGTCGTCCGCGAGGCCATCCCAACTACAGAGGACGAGCAGTTCAAGGTCGTGCTGAAGCAGCCTGAGGGGCTTGCCACTGCGAAGGAGGGAGAGGAGGTTGCCGTCACCGACGCTGGTGACTCCAAGAAGATCCTACCGGGTTGGAAGGTGCGCTGGAGCAAGGCCATGGACGGAAAGGGTGGGGAGAGCGAGGGCAAGTTCGAGTGGTTCGGTGGGCTTGCAGCTGGGAAGACGACCACTTTGGCAGCGGAGTGGGAGGTGAGAGTGCCTGTAGGTGTGGTGTGGGATGAAGTTGTCCAACATGTCGCAGGGTCTACGACGTGAAGGCACACGCCATCTCCCAACCGCTTGTACTTGTTGTCGACCACGATCGATCGAAGTGTATGCCAGTGTACGAACATATTCGTTTCTCCTGGTTTTTCACCAGAGTCGTGGGCTATGCGTTACCCCTTAGAACGTAAGTGCGAAGCCGAACTTTCGTGAAATGCGGAAGCATTTCTTGCGCCCCTCGACGACGTCACGTGTTGATATAAGTGTTTAAGACTAACTGTCACTGAGTCGACACCTTTCACGAAATTTCGAAGAGCAAGCAGTTGGATACGCGATATCTGTGTAGCCTGACCGAGCTCTTTGAACACTGGTCGCACCCATGGGTCGAATTGTTCGCGAAGTTTATCTGATCCAACAAGCTCGGCCCTCGAGGAATTACCCCGTCTCCTAGTAAAATTCTTCATCTCTTTCCCGCACACAGAATACTCTCTTATCAACACAGTGCTGAAAGACAATTGAAGATGGGCAACATGTGCAAGGGCTGCAATCCTGCGCGAAATCTCACAGTCTACGCAAAAATTTCTGGAAGGTACAAGGCGTCCTCCATACACTAGTACTGCGTTCTCAAATACTGACTCACAATCTTGTATAGCTTCATCTGGTTGGCCAGCTAGAGGTGCCTCAGCAGTGCAGATAGTGAGTGGGTATTACTGTAGTCTCGTTTCGCGTTATAAATCTTTACCATCGCTGGGCACGTACAACGCTAGGCATGCGAGGACGTGTTAACTCACCGAGGCGGCGGACACGTAGACAGTCATCGGGCGCAATCTGAAGCTACCCGTCGAAATATGGAGCAAAATACGCAGACGGCGGATTACTCCTCTCCCAGCTCTGCTTTCTATACCCCGCATGCACGGTTGACGTTCTTCCGACAAATTGTCTTGTGAAGAACTATATGCTCCAGTTGTGATCACTGACTTGTGAATTAGTGTGAACCAGCCCCGTATTGAGGGATCCGTTCTCGCTTCCACTTTTGCCAGTACTCTCGACGTGGACTATGCTCCCTCGTCTCCGCACACTGCCGATCGACGAGCAGCTTTTGCCCTTGGTTCCATAATATCACACATCTAAAGATCATAAACGCTGGCGAATGTGTCACCAATGCCTCGCTCACGCTGTCGGACATCGGCAGTTTCTTATTCCCCCGAGTGAATGACAGTGGTGGCTGCCTTTTTTAACCTCAATATCATGGAACGAGACCGCACGGAGCTTTCAATTCTTATGCGTAAACGACTCTATCCTTCAGACTTCAGAGGGTGAGAACTAGACTAACTTTTCGATTGAATGTACGCTGATGCGGGGTGTTACGCGCAGCAGTCCTACCCTATCGTCGATTCACTGAGCTCTCTTCCGTTCCCCAGGCAAAGTTGTTGAGGCACTGACCTGGGAAACATGATTGCGTAATTCATAGCTGCCGGCTGAGAACAGCTAAGAAACGCATGTCACAACCTTTCTACGTTTCGCGCTGCCTGTTCCGAGGAGAAAGCTTCACCTGAGCTTTTCAATAACTTCCGCGACCTTTTTTCTCGGTTTCGGGCAATGGCGAGCTACTCGCTCTGCTCAACCCTTTCGCCCTGAAGCCTAAAGAAGTACGTCCCAACCAATTTTCAAAAGATAGTGTACTGATTAAAGCTACTTTTCTTCAGCTGAATCTGCGCTGTGAAAGGAATCTGAGTTATTATAATGCTTAACCCGGAGAGGAAAAGATAGTCGCTGACTTTGTATGTGCTTAGTGATCTATGAGGCTTCTTTGACTCATACTAGAACAGCTGTCTGTCTGTCTGCCCACGAAATCCTGTGCAAGTACTGCGCCCATCCCGTGAAGTCGCAGAGAATGGCTGACGGCTTTCAACCTCCGCGTACTCAGACTCAAAAATAACGCAGTCACTCATCCCTTATTACGCATATTATGCGGCCCCGTATACTCGGTGTACGTACCTTTGTTGTGGATTGCACTTATTGGCAGGTCGCGGAATGACGCGGTCACATGCAGCAATACACACGTGACATGGGCGAATAGAATGGCCACAACGCTTTAGTGCGCTGATATCCACCTTTCACCGCAACTACCGCCATTATCACTGTCTCGTCTTACATATCTGTACTCCTTGTACAATAAACCTCGGTCGCCCTTTTCCTCCAAGCCAATATCCGACCGACCTTACGCCGCTTCAGGCAATAGCATACCAGAAAGAGGACACTGTCTAGTGGAATGCCCCTCGTCGCGAGCCACATTACCCCCAACATGACAGTGACACTGCCTGTGCACTCCTCCAGGTTCCGTTTCCATCATTCCCCCGCGAAGACCTCAATTAAAGGCATCGCATCAACTCCACGCCCGTTGTTTGGCGTGGCCACAACGTCCACTGCCATCCCGGGATACGATTCCAAAGCCGTTACTGGGTGCAAGCGGAAGGCGGTGTTGGACGACCACTGGGAATATGAGCAGGCCGCTCAGAAGAGGCAAAAGGTCGAACAAGAAGTCAAAGGTATATCTTCATCCCGACGCTTGTTGACGTTGTACGTTACTTATCATTATTTGTGGCCGCAGACCTGACAGCCGCAGACCTGACACCTTACTTTGAGGTATCCTCGAGAATCATTGCGAGGTCAAGCGACGCGTCAGCGTCAACACAAGACGCTACCCAGGTGGGCAAGTGCGTGTGGCCACCGATGAACGCTGAGCATCCAATGGCCGCGACACAAGGTCTGTATCTTCACCACCGGACATTCTCGTAACATTAACTAATACCTTGTTTTCAGATTATGTGCCGCTAGAGATATACGGTAAGCGGCACATGCGTGAAGGCCTAGCACGAGACTTCCCGGGAGCATACGCCATGGAATCGACGCACCTTCCACCTACCGAGCTCCCCATAGAAGAATATCCAAGCTCAATACCTTTGGAGCTGGACGATCTTATGGATGAGTGTGAGGACGACCAATTTCCGGAGGTAGAAGCATTTTTTCAGGATGCTTGTGAGGATGTGCAATCCTCGGAGGTCGAGGAGTTTCTTCGGGATGCCTGTGAGGACGTGCAATCCTCGGAGGTGGAAGATTTTTTTTGGGATGCCTGCGCGGACGTGCAATATGCGGAGGAAGATTTCCTTTCGGATGCCTGTGAAGACATACAGCCATCTCCGCTGGCTTCCCCCGAAGTGGAACAGGTGACAAGTGAAAGTCCCACACAACAAAAACACTGGAAACGAGATAATTGCTCGCTGTGGAAGAAGGCATGCAGGACTCGAGTCAAAACCATGTGAGTTGCTCTAATTAGAACACATCTGTGGATATCTGACATTCTTCTTTGGTTCAGGATCAAAATATTTGGCCAGGCCTCCGTATGCGAGGCTGCAGTTAGTGAGGCCTCGGCGGCATCCTGCATGCAGCATATCTGCAGCCACCGGTGGGAAGAGATGGACAGTGTTTGCTCGGATGACTCCGGGTACGAGAGTGACGTGGAGGACAACAAGGGGTCTGTCGCCAACAATGGATCTGTAGCCCCAAGGTACCTTCCATGCACAGAGTTCGACAGTCTACGGGACAGGGCTGCTGCATGTGGCCGCCTCCCTCCCTTATTGGCAATCCCTTGTCGGCTGTTCGAGTACGCGGATGTCATCCTGCATGGTACACCGACGCGGACGCCAGAATGGGCTAGAGGCAACTTAGTAGAGGAAAAGAAGAAGAGGGATGAAAGGAAGAAAGAGATATTGGCCAATGCCCTCGCCTCATTCACGCCATGAATTGGTATTCCAAACTTAACTTAAAATCTTCGTCATTGATTCGCCCTCATACCCAGTTAGGTTGAATACCCCGTTGTAAAAATTATCATCTGTAGCTGATACTACGCAATGTCGTCACAACTCACACGATGTATCAATACTTTTCTGCATTTGTATAATATAATTGACTCCGTTATTGACTCGGAGATATGTGATTTGCGAAGCACTGAACTCTCCAAGGGTTGAACAAAAACATTTACATTCAAAAGACGGCAAGAACCCTGTGTCATCAAAGGGATGCAGCTCGCACTGGCAGCTCGACAAATAGAAGAAGCGAGGTATCACAGGTGCTCGATTCACGGGTCCAATGAGCCCAACATGAATCTGACGTTTCAGAAGGACGTGTCCTCCCATTGCGAAGCTGGTACTGGATGAGTCACTGCAGCAATTGTGAGTGAATTTGTTGGAAAACCAGACCGACGCAAGCTTACTCGGCTCCTTGCAGTCTGTACGATATGCGACCATAACCCACCCCTCCCTCTTCATCTTGCGCGCTCGCCTCTTACTCAACATCCATGAGACCTTTCTGGCATCCAGATCAAACGTCTCCTGCGCGGTCAGAATATAGATCTCGCCAGGGGGCGGCTCCATCTTACCATCCAGGATGGAGGGCAGAGCAGTAACCACAGCGGAAGCTGTCAAGTTTGGCGCAGGTTTATAGAAGAGGAGGTATACAGCTGGGTCGAACGGAGGGATCGAGCTGGATGGTGACGAGAGCATAGGAGAGGACGAGCGCACAGAGGCCTCGAAAACTCCAACCTCCTTGTGAGAGGTGACGAAATCTGCCGGCAGAGAGATTGCGAAGGGGAACCCGCGGTGGGACAATGCAAGCACGTTTTCGAACTCAGCATGCAGTATATCCAGCCGGATCTTCCGCTTTGGCACACGACGGTTGATATCCGACACGGGGATGGGCCACTTGTCTAGGTACGGCGCGATGTCTGTCGTCAGATCGTCGTCGAGGATACACTGCAAGAACTCGGAGAGCCAGTGTGCAGGGTAGCCAACACTGTGGAGGTGCACAAGAAGGGTGAAGAATGGGATAAGGTTATTCGGCATCTTGGCTCTGAAGTATCCGAGGCCACTGGTCCCGGGAATGACAGTGTAGATCAAGGTCCGTGTGAGCCAAACGACGAGCTCCTCTCGCGTAGCCAGTTCAGAGAGCGGCCGGGGAAGAGGTTTGTTGCCCAGAACGACAAGACGGTGAACAGCTTCCTTACTGATCAGACGACAACCAAAGTATCGAGGTATGTCGGTTGAACGGAGAAGCGTATACCTGGGGAACTGTGAGCACCACCAACAGGTCGATGGACAGAGGAACCTACGTGTAGATGAACTCCTCATCGTCTCGCCAGATACCAGTGTTCAGGAGCGAATGAGCCGATACAACCGATTCGCGCCCACAGCGAACTAGTGGCAATGAGTACAGCAACATGTTAATCGTCCCGTGCGTATAGTCCCTGTTCACCCGTCAAGGGGCATGCACAAGAACAAAATAGTGAACGAAAGCTCACGGGACGTTGCTGACATATGATCTCGTAAATGTCCGAGGAAATTCAGGAGAGCGTGTGTGGTCACTATTGAACCTCATCTTGACGGACTCCTGAGTCAGTTCAGCAAACAACAACTCCAGCTTAAGCTGTCCCTTCAGGATCTTCAGGCTGTCCGCGACGGCGCCGAAGAAGTCCGCCAGATGGGTGTACGTCGGCGCATCAGCATAGATAGTATGCGGAGAAATCGTGTTGAACCCAAACCGCACATTGAATTTATCGATGCAGCCGGGGGTATTCCAGGGATTAAATCCGAGAAAAGGCTCGCGACCGGGATGGCGGTAATCCTGTGTCCACATACATCAGTTGGTGACAAGGTATTAGAACAGACCAGACGCACGTAGAGAGTTGGATTGGGCTTCCAAGTCTGTTCAATATGCTTCTTCCACTGTGTTTCGGATATCTAAGCGGTATAAAATTGAAAAAGGATCGATTTACATACACTCTTAGCCATGGATGGCTTAGCCTTTTTCAACTGGTTCTTGAATGCGGCAAAATCCTCGAAACCAGGATGGCGGGACCACAGCTCAGGCGGTGGCAGAAAAACCTTATTCTGGTCATACCACATTTTCTCTACAGACATAGTGCCGGTCCCAGAGAACACGAGCTCCAGCGTTGAATCGACAACCCCCTGGAAGCATTCCTTGTAAAGTCTCTTTTGGCGAGGCGTGGCGTCAGGACCTGGGTCTACCAACCCCATCTTCTCGAGTGTCTCCGGCGGAAGTGCCCTCACCACTTCGGTCGCTTTGAGGCGTTTATCTGCCAAGTTTTTCTCTATCATCTGCTTGTAAGCCGGGGAGATCTTTGGGTCGTCGAGAAAGTCCAGTGGGGACTTGCCCGCGGAAATGGGGTGGTGTGCAGCTAGCATTTGCGCAGTATTTGTGTTATCAGCAATCGTGGACCAGACCTTCAATGCTTCCAAGATACCGGGGACGGCTTCTGTGTCAACATGTATCCACGAAGGGAACCGTGAAGGCCGTTCTGAGAGACGTGATTGCAAGTCTTTGATCACGTTTTGGAGCCTAATTGGCAGTAGTATCAACGAAAAGTCACCAAATACACAATAAGTTGCCGTACCGTTCATGGCAGTATTCGGGCATTGCGATGCCGACGTAAGTGTAAAAGAGGGTCGCTTTCATTTCGGCCAAAGCAATGGGATCAGTCGCCTCAGCTTCGACGAGATCATGAAGCAGCATGAGCACGCAGAGGTCGCGTGCTAGTGCACCGGGGTGGAAGTCCAGAAGGGTCATATGCATGTGGACTTTGTCGCGCTTATCCTGCGGGAGTTCTTTGCACACTTTCTGTAGTCTATATATTGTACCAAACACGTGACGGGCTGTGTGATAAAGCAGTTTAGAAAACGTTCGGTAAAAAAGCCTTGAACTTGCCGTCTCCAATTCCCCCAAACATGAACGCGATATCGCCTAGTTCGTCGTCCGACATTTTGCTCAGATCCAAACGAGACGGACTTTCGGGACCAGCATCGTCAATCATTGACATAACCGAGTCCTGTCCAATCTACAATCCCACTATAACTCAATAGTAGAACGAAGATGAGAGCACTGAGTGCTAACCGTGTGATAGTCCACCCAAAAGCTCCTACCGCACCATCGCCAGTCCCTTTGAGATGAATGAATACAGTAGACTATTGGAAGGCACGTACGGTGGTTTCTTGAAAACAGGTAGGCAAGACAACCTCCCCAAAGCATCGCTACCGGTCTGACGACGATCCCCCGACTCGCTTTCGATGGCTCTAAACAGCTGCCATACTTGCGAGCTCTTCGGGTCGCTCTCTGCAGAGCCAGAGAGAACCGTTTCAAGCCGAGAGATATCATCTGCACGTTCGCGTATGAATTTGTCCGAGATTGCACCGCTGCGGAGACCGTGACATAAGGCCTTGCAGAGCCGCGCTGAGAGCTTCGACGCTAGAACTGAGTTTGAGCCAGAATTTATAAGCTTGTAAGAGCGAATGATCGCATCTATGCATTCAGGATAGTTGCTGGCTTCATAAAGAGCTGCACTCAGGTTTGACGCGTAGACAGGGTCAGAAGGCGACAGCTTCTCGGCCTATGTACCGTAATGAAGTTGGCATGAGTATGAGACGATTTTGGAGGGAACTGTACCTCAGAATACAATGAAGCAGCTCTGGAAACAGAAAAATATGAGATCCTGACGGGCATATTAATAGTCGAAGACTGTTTGCACTTACTCGCTCAGACGACCGCTCTTGAAGAAGTCATTCCCTCTGTTTTTCAATACGACAGCCTTCTTAGCGGCCATTCTCTTGCAAATGTTGGACTTGTCGATTATCAGCGAAAAAGAGGAAGGCTAGAGTACGAGGTGTTGAGCTTTCGAGGCGCCGGCAAGTCAAGCTATTTTCTTGACTTTGGAAATTGAATGGACGCGACCAGTTACCAGTGTGACACAGTGCCTCGCGTTTGTCACGCGTACCAAACGCGCCTGTGGCGCCAAACGCAATGCATCCGAAACTTTAATTTTCTCTAGTTTCTTGACATATACCAGATTCAGGATCTGAGCCATGGCCAATTCGTGTCCAGGGAAATTTCCTGGCCAGGAATGGCGATGAACATGATGGGAAGAAGTCAGTCAGGCTGAGACGCGTGTCATGTGACGAGGTGCGTTGACGATGTTGGCCTGGTCTCGCAACACAACGGCCGCAGCGACATTGATACACATGAGATCGGACTACAGGTTTGCAGGGTTTTCCCTGCGTGGATTGACTATCCTACCCTCCGCTACCATCGCTCCGCCTATCTCGCATCGGACGTTATCATGACGGACCTGTCTCCAGGACCACGTGGGGCACTGTCCGACGCCGAGCTGTTTCTGCGGCCTCCATTCACACTGCCTCGCAAACGCTTGCAAACAGGTAAGCCTTCGCAACCCGCACGTCCTGTCGACCTTAGATTTCTATATAATAACGATTATACTGTAGCGCCTACGTATCCTACCCCTCTTAAATCGGATGTCTTGGGAGGCCTTCAAGGTCGAAGCAAACACGAGAGCGTGGACACCGTCGTCAGAGCATACGTCGGGCGGAACTTGGCACACAACATCGAGCGCGATGTGCCCGTCCTCGACTTCGTTAGGGCTGTTTGGAACTTCACTCGTGATCAGATACCCACGCCAAATGGATTGTATACCCTTTCTCGCAAGCTCTGCAAGAGTTACTGTGACTGCTCTTCGGAAAGGCAATCGTATAAAGACCTCAACGACATATTTCACGATATTATCACCCAGATGTTCTGCAAGGGGGGAAGGACAACCCACGTCCGGAGTTTCCCCGTCCGATCCATGCTCAATTCATGAATCTGAAGGAGAGTTTCGTGGACGGTATGTTTGGCCGCGTCAAGCCCGACATGTCCTGGAGTACAATGAAGAAGGTGAATAAACAGTTATGGTTTTGGACGCTAGCCTGCGTAGAAGTCAAGCGACCTACCAAACTGGCGTTTAGGGTGAGAGATGATGTTGTCGCCGTGAATCTGTCTAAACTGCGGGAAGTACGTTTCGTTCAACGACGGTCTGAATTGTACTAATTAGTGGTTTTATCTCACTTAGTCTGATAGCCAATCAACATCTACCATCCGAACACGCAAGCGAAAGATGCCTAAGAATACTAACGACGACGTAGCCGAGCCACCTATGAAACGCACACGGTCCATTTACAAGTTCGGTACTACGTCGGCTCAAGAACGGTCAGACCGGTCGATATATCTGACAAACAACGAGGTGCAGATGACAAAGTACCAGCTGCACATGTTCTCTCACGGCGTGCGCGACTGTGTCTGGCTTCTCGCTGGATGGTCTTACCATTCACCTATGGTATTCCGACCGGATGGGCACTGCGATGTCAACCACATTTGACTTTTTTGTGAAGCCGCAGTATCCTTTCCTGGTCCTCGCTGCGTTGGCCTCGGCTGACCTGTCCTGCACAGGTATCTCCCCATTCGTGAGGTTCACTTCGACAACCTTCAGCAGCTTTTCCACTGCACAATTTGAGGTGCCGCTGGGTGCAACTTATGAGGGCGATGGAGTGGAGAAGAAGACTACTGAACGGTAGCAGTTCTTAATTGATATCAACAGCACGCGGCATCTACTTCCCGACTTCTGTATCGTTGGCAGAGGGACGACCATTGTTCCTCTCAAAACCAAAGGCGAGACACTCAAGCTGTTCGGACGTGATGCTGTCATTGCCAAATTGGCGTGGGCACAGACCAGTCGCACAGAAGAAGGCAAGATCATTCAAACAGCTTGAGTGGCGCTTCGACGGCGGAAGCCAGAGTATGTCAGACATATTTCAGACTTGAAGTGTTGGCTTTTGCGCACAATGGATGACCTGGATCTTCTCAGAGTTTTCTTATCGGAGCTTCCAGGCTCTCCTGATTACGAGAATCGGCCGCTCCAGCCATGAAGGAGTACCAGCCTCTGCATATGGTGAACAGTCCAGAGGAGTTCATAAAGGTGTTCACGGATGTTGTACACGGTGAGTCCCACTGTGTTCTACTGTCATCCACCTGGTTTTTGACTCATTGCGCAACAGTACACCATTGGGTCTCGGAAATATCAAATATTCTGCACCGCGGTATTAGCGCGAACAATATCATGTTCTACCGCGAGGGCGCCAACATCTATGGTGTCATCTCTAGCATCCATGAATCGCGGGGAAAACAATTCAACAGATGTACAAACCTTCTTGCAAATACAAACTCTCCCTTGGGATAATACTTCCGGGCCCTCGGCAGATGCATCCAAAGCCCCTCCGACTGCTGGCGAGTCGAGTAAGCAGGTCAAGGATGGTGAGATGGAGAACGTTGCCGCTGGACCTTCACAGAGTCGGGACAAGTCCAAGGAGGATGATCAAAAGAAGCCGAGGTACCGCGTCCGTTCATGGCTTTAGATCTGCTGTCGTGGGAGGATAAGATGCCTGCGCATCGATATCGTCACGACCTCGAGTCGTTCTTCTATGTTCTTGCGTGGTTTTGTGCGGTGTTTCGTCCCAAAGCCCACATTTGCGGCGTTTGCGAACCTTGATCCCGAGTACCGCCATCTTGCATACGGGCCGGTCAAGAAACTCCGTCGCTACTTCAGTGTTGTCAACAATCTCCACTGGAATAACTTGGTCTATATATGCAGCCAATATACTTCGGCGGAGGAGGAGAGTGACAAGGAGCAGATGCAGAACCTGTTTGATGACATTATGCGGAGGGTGGAGGAGAGGAATGCGGCAATCACGTATGCCGGTTTCATGGAATGTCTTTCACCTGCGTGAATGACCATTCGGTAGACTTGTTTGTTGTGTATGCCTTGCCATCAGTCGCTGATACATGTCAATAAATTATTGCAGTTTTGCGTGTAGAAGGGATCACGTGATGTGTGACAATGATATCTCTGAAGAGTGCAAGCATTCTCTAAATCAATGTATCATGATGCACTGGCATCAATCCCAAATGCTGTATAACATGTGCTTGATGTGAAATGTCGCAATTGAGCTTCGGAACTAAGTACTGGCGCAAAACATAATGTCGCGTTCCGTCACGCGAGTGACAGGCTAAGTCACGTTCGAGGCCCGTGGCGCACCGCGCAGTCGACGGACGGCACCGTGACGTCTCGTTGCAATATTGATCTGTCTGAGTGCACATCATGGCGACGAAGCCAATGGTGGACGATCTGCCGGACGCCGTACAGCTGAAGAATGAAGGGAATGCTTATTTCAGAGTCGGTCGCTTTGCCCTGTGAGCTTCTCAGCTTTACCTCCATCTCAGGCTAATAGTGTCTTCTTGCCTGCTGAGAATGCGGTGATCCATGCAGGGCTGCTGAAACCTACATCAAGGTAACCATTGATTAACTCCTTCCAACGCACTTATGGGTTCGCAATTGCACAGGCGGAACAGCTTCGCCCAGATGATCCAATTTATCCGTCGAACTTGAGTGCAGCACTATCATGATATGAGGCTGGAGACTATCTCGGATGCATCGAAGCCGTTGTTCGCACATGGAAGCTTCTCCCTGCGGAGGAAAGCTCAGATCTTCGAATGAGACTTTCTGTGCGCTTGAGCAAGGCTCTTCGTCAGGGCCTGCGCGCTGGTACCGTCTCACTCGCCTTTCTTCGTGACAATGCGCATACTATCGCGCAGATGGATTATATGGTCCTGGAAGACTCTGGTCACAACTTAGAGAACATACAATTCTGGAAAAACTTCAGGCTCATGGAGATACAAGGGAAATATGATGCTCATGAAAGAGACACTTCCAGACGCTACCTTTCTATTCTTCCCGTGTTCAAGAGGATGACGTATGTCAATTTGAATATCTTTTGCGCGGACGCATTGCTGACAAATTTATGCTATCATCAGGCAGACAACATTGGAATACTTCACAGTACGTCATTGTTCTTGTAATTCCTCCTGCAGGTACAGCAGACTCATGGTCCATTATGTAGATAGGTCAAGATCGTTTGATGTCTTTGACAGACAACTGGGGCACAGACTATCCTTCCCCATTGCATTTGAATGAAATGACAGGAGATGACCTGCAGAATATCGCGTTTCTATTCGGAGGAGTCGGTGATGGTGTGCATTGTCTTGTATGTAGCTTATGCGTGCTCATATCTCCTCTAGCACGTCATGTATATGCTACGTTGATTGGCCTTCACCGTGCATCCAAGACCCTCTCGAAAACAAAACGAAAGAAACTTCGTGCGCATTTCACTCTCTTAGACTTCCAGCCTTCTGCATTGGCACGAGACCTGTGCATCATGATGTTGCTGGAGTATTTGGTAGATCATGTAGACGTGCAAATGACTACCCTGCTTGAAGTCTGTGCGACAATTTTCTATACCTATGTTGGTGTCGTGATGCCTCAATACTGCCATGATCGGTATGTGTTGCGCTGATCAGTCACCCAACCATGCTCCCTGAACCGGTTTCCATCAGGTTACAGATCACTATCCAAAACTTACTCAGACGTCTATCCGAACAACCTCCGCGACTACCGTTCTGGATTCACGTTGATCCCGCCAGTATACCAAGATTGCTCGAAGCCCTACGGTTTTGGTCAACAGTCCACGAGGGATTACAGACTAAACGAGTCTTACGAACCCATACCCCAGAGTCTCCCGATAGTCCGCTTATTCAGGAATATCAACCCAATTTCGGAGAGGTTTTCTCTTCGGAGCGCCAGCTACTGGTAGAGAACTTGCGTCGCCTTGACCCCTCACAGTTAGAAGAGCATGATGTCTTCCATCCAGGACCCAACGCGACCCCCTTACAAAAGTGGATATTTGAGGCACGTCTGGACTCGTGTGCTCGTACTGTCCTCGAGGAAGAACCGCCGATGGCCCTTGAACGACGGTGGTATGCTGGTACGAAGGTGTTCCTACCTCCTCCAGAATTGTGGTCGCGGCATCCTGGATTTGAGTATTTTCGCTCCATGAGAACCTCTAGGACTAGTCTACCGTTGGCCCAGGCAGAATCTGTGAGTTCACTAAATTTTGTCTCGGGGTTCTTTGCTCACTAATACACTAATTTTTTTTGCTTTAGTTAAGAGATGAAATTGCACTCTCTTGGAAAGCTAATCCAACTCTGCTGGTGCGTCTTTTTACTTCACGCATTGCCGATCGGTTAATGGCTTACTTCAAGTCTTGTCTCAGAATTCTCGGAATGATGGTCGCCAACCATACTGTCTTCCAAACCCCTTCGAGACACCTCACTTCATCGAAGACTTCAACGTAGAGACTGGACTTAAGCCGAGAAGCTCGTATGGCACCAACTCGGATGCGCCGGCGTTCACCGCTGTGGCGGACTTTTTCAGAGCGACCGCTGAGGCCGTCAGAGGGATGAAAGACCGTGTAGTACTGGAGGTCTTGTGCGGAGAACTAAGCCAGGAAATTGCTAAAATGCAGCTCGACAATAATGCTTCTCGCCCTGCGCGTTTCCCAAAGTCTCGCCCTGCGCGTTTCCCAAAGTCTCGCCCTGCGCGTTTCCCAAAGTCTCGCCCTGCGCGTTTCCCAAAGTCTCGCCCTGCGCGTTTCCCAAAGTTATTCACTCGAGCCTATGTTAGTAACATCCCGTAAGTGCGTTGACATTCGCAGCTCTTCCGAGGTGCTCAAGTCTTACCAGCGATTATGCGCATGGCTTGATAAACACCATTGTATATAATCTACCTATACTACGCTCTCGAGCTGAATCGGCCATCGCAGCCACTTCATTTCTGAATCGTCCGATCTGGTCGAGTAATGAAGAATTTTGTTACACGTAGGTCCTCTGATTTTCTGCCTCCAATATTCAGAGCTTGACTTGCACTTGCTAGATACACGTTGCTTTTGCCGAAGGACCTTCCACGATATCTGGGCTGCCGTGTGATCTGTGCCGATCTCATGGGGAAAATCATCTTGGGCAAGGACCCTCTTCCAAAACCAGTCGACAAACTAGTTATCCGGGAAGAACTTTTCAGCTGGCCCACCCGAACGTTACTCTATATTATCATACCAGCATCGAGTGACGAACAGGCGACCAATGTTGTCCGTCTTCCTCACAAGCTTGTTGCTTTCTTCGGGCTTTTGGTGCATCTTCAACATGTTGGATATCCGTCACATTGGTTCACGGACTTTGTTCAAACCATGCTTTATAACAATGTTGCCACTGATATTGCACCTTATTTGGGTTCAGCTCCCATTCCTGTCTCGGACATCTCACGGCGTGTTCCCATGCGAAAGATTCGTTTGGACCCATGGTTCGCGGAATTTGAGAACATCCTCGCCTTGACATACAAGGGCTTACCTTTCGCAGTATCTCTCCCTGATTCTTTTGCTCAGTCACATACAGATATTGGTTTGTTTGAATCCGCTTCATCACCACTTTTCCCGGTCGCACTTGATCGCATTCCATCTGTATGTCTGCTGTTCTACAAGCCTGGTGCTGGCATGGATCCAGCAGAGTTGGTTTCCGCTGTACCTTCCATCCTAGAAGGACAGTCACTTCCTCGACAAGACGACTTGTACATTCTCACTGCCCTGCAGTCATTGCAGTGTATCAACCATGTCTGGAAAGCCCAGTGGATGTTTAGCTGGAAGCGTATCCAGCGACTGAGGCGGGAGAAGTGGTTGATGGTGGTCTACCACGCAGCCCTGCGCAGGCCGAGTATGTTGTGCCTTCATTTTTGTCACTCTAATAAACTTACTTTTGTTTCGTTGCAGTCACTGAACCTGAGCCCGCCTCGCGCTGGACCGAGGTTTCTACCTCTTGAGTATTATTAGATGCTATATAAGGTCTTGGCTGTATCTTTCCGCTGAGTTGTAACCCACTGATCCGCTCTCCGCAGCAAATGTATCCAGCATCTTGTCTTGTCTGCTGCCAATCGTGCTTTTCCTCGTTTCCGTCTCGTCCTTGTTTTTATTTTCGCCCTTTCACAAGGGTCTTTATCGCGCTACTCTACCTTTTTCTTCTTCCGTTCCTCCGCTTGGTGTTTTTTACGTGCACGTCACAATGTGTCAGTGCACTCTGCACTGTCTCATATGCATGATTGTCTTTCTGCCGCGTCGTCATGTTCTCTAGAGCTAGGCATATCATTAGTTGTCGATGTTCCGATTAAGTGCAGATTCGGCTGAAACCACCGGCATATCCTGGCGTTGAGTATGGCTATCCCGATATGGTGATCTGTGTCTTCAGAGAGCTGCGGCACCAACGTTGTCTCCAACCATGAGGGCGACGTCGTCTTTTCTCTCGCTCCTTGCACTTCCCTATGTACTCGCTGTTCCTACCAGTGACCAGACTCTTTTAGGTGGCTCAGAACTAGGCTTGGATGTCGGCAGTCTGAGCGGAATAGCGCACTACGTGCAGCATGCAGTGCACGATGTGCTAGGGGACAACAGTATCAATTCCGAGGTCAACCAGTGGATAGAAGATGGGAAGAAGTTTATTATGCAGAGCGGTCTTATCTGTGAGTACATTGCGAGACTTCAGCTCGATGACGTGTTGATTCACGAGTCAGACGAGCTCGTCTCTCATCCTGCTTTCGAGCAGTATCAGTTGAGAATGAAGGAGCCAAAGCTTTGCGACCCCACAGTGAAGCAGTACTCTGGGTACCTTGATATCGCTCAGGACAAGCATCTATTCTTCTGGTAGGTCCTCCGTGCTAGAGATGATGATTCATTTCCCGTCACGGATGCGGTGGGCGTGCATCAGCAACTCCCGCAATCATTTGATCTACCCCGTAGCAATCCACGTAGACCAAAGTACTGAATTTAATATTCAGGTTCTTCGAATCCCGCGTCAACCCTGCAGACGCGCCTCTGGTTCTCTGGCTCAACGGCGGACCAGGCTGCTCTTCCTCCACCGGCCTTCTGATGGAGCTTGGCCCTTGTAACATCGATTCTGACGGTCGGAACGTGACGTCCAACAAGCACTCTTGGAACACGCACGCCAACGTTATCTTCCTCGACCAACCCGTCAACGTTGGGTACTCGTACGCGGACGAGGGCACAAGCGTGAATACCAGCCCTGTGGCTGGTCAGGATGTGTATGCGTTCCTGGAGCTATTCCTCAGTCGTTTCCCTAAGTATTCAAAGTTGCCGTTCCACATCGCGGCGGAGAGCTATGGCGGAACGTATGCGCCAAACATTGCCGCGGTGGTGCACAAAGAGAACCAGGCGCTGGTACGCTCGCACTCCGCCGCCTCTCGGGGCCTTATGTACATCAATCTTGCCTCGGTGATCCTTGGGAACGGCCTCACAAATCCGCACGTGCAGATGGCGAGCGTACCGGACTGGGCATGCGACGGCCCATACGCGGTGTACGACGATCCGGAGGGACCACAGTGCTCCGCCCTAAGAACCAAAGTGCCGACATGTCAACGTCTCCTCAAAAGCTGTAATGATTTCGAGTCTCGTCTGACGTGCGTCCCCGCGCTCTTGTACTGCAACAGCCAGATTATGGGGCCGCTTATGCGTGAGTATATGCTCCCGCTGCACGTCGTGCCCCCTCTGACTGTCACGGTTCAGAGCTCGGCCTCAACCCGTATGACGTGCGCCGCAAGTGTGATCGCTCGAAAGACGGTGACCTCTGCTACCCTCAGATGAGCTGGATCGAGATGTGGATGAACCTGCCGGAGCAGAAATACGAGCTTGGCGTGAACCCAGCGCAGGAGTTCTCGGCGTGCAACATGGAAGTCAACCAGGCGTTTGCGCTGCAGGGTGACGGCGCGCACAATAGCGCGAAACTGCTGCCGGAGCTCGTCGAGAATGGCATCCGTCTACTTGTCTACGCCGGAACGGCGGACATGATGTGCAATTTCATCGTACGTCCTTCGTGTCCTGCGCATTGCCCTTTCGTCTGAGGAAACCACACCAGGGCAACGAACGGTGGGTTGAGCAGCTTGAATCCAAGTTCCGCGACGAATTCGCTAGCGCGCAGTCTGTGCCGTGGACCGTTACTGAGACGGGCAAGATCGGAGGCTTGGTCCGCAGCGCGGGTGGCCATGGAGCTTCTGCGGGAAACGTAACTTTCGTCGCCGTTCATGAGGCTGGGTGAGTCTCCTTGTCATACACTTCAGTTCCTGCCCCATTGAGGCGCACATTGCCCTACAGACACATGGTTCCATTTGATCAGCCGGAGGCCGCCCTCGTATGTTCTGTGTTTCATTCCGCTCTGATGGTCCGCTCATGGCTGTCACATAGGATTTGATCACCAGGTGGATTATGGACATACCGCTCTCACTCAATACATCCCTGCATATTCCGTGGAGCGGGCTTTAGTGATACCAAGATCATATTCTCGCCTATCGCTAAGAGGAGACGAGCGAGCTCTACGATTTGTTCATTACTTTCATAGACTGTACAAGATGTATTTCTGAAGACACTGGTGCATAGCTTTGCGTAAATCACGATTCAGCTCTTAGGATTTGAGGCAAGTATTGGCCAGCAAAGCTAACAAGAGTGGTGGTCAACGCAGTATATATACGACCTGTTCCTGTCTGTTCGCTTCAGGCGAGCGCAGCTGCCTCCTTCCATTCTGATGCAAGTGCAGGATGAGTGACTGAAAGTGCAATGTTAAAACTTCCACAGGAGGGTAATAATCACGGCTTACATGGCAACCTCATGTCTGCTCGATATGCCACCATCATCCATCGCTCGTTTCGCATCCTCTCCAAGCGCTTCTTACCCAGTACCCATCGTGCCATACAGTCACCATCCAAGTTGAAAGAAAGAACGGCCGTTAGGATCAACACGTCGCCTGGGGAAGGCCGCGTCTGTCCCTCGAGTATCGAAGGTATTGCAGTGACCAAGTCGTTTGGTGTCATGTTAATCAATGGTTTGTAGAACAGGAGACAGACATCAGGGTGTCGGTCGAGGATAGGTGGACTGAACATTGAGCCATCCGACGGAATAGACGGCCGCAGCTGTACCTCGCATACGCTGATCTCTGTCCGGGCCCTTGCATAGTCACCTGGTAGAGAAATTGCGAACGGTAGGCCACGATGGGAGACGGCGAGGATGTTTTCAAAGTCGGCCTGCCATAGGTCTAGGCGAATGCTTCGCTTGGCTACTCGTCGCGATATTTCGCGTAGCGGGATGGGGTATTCTCCTAGGTAGATTGGAACTTCAGTCTTCACGTCGTCTTCGAGGACAGTGTGGAGGAACTCCGAAAGCCAGTGAGCTGGGTAGTCGACACTTTGAAGATGCACGAGGAGCCCGATAAATGCTACCAAGTTATTGGGAAGGCGGACGGGGAAAGAGCCGCTCACGATCGGTGGAACGACGATGTGAAGCAGTGTCCGCGTTAGCCACGCAACAAGTTCTTCGCGCGAAGCCAATTCGGTCAACGGATGAGGTAAAGACCGGTTGCCTAAGATGACCGGCGACGTCCTGCTCAATCACACGACAGCCGAAATACTTGGGCAAATCGTAGAGTCGAAGGAGCGTATAGCTGGTTTTCAGAGTAAGCAGATGAGGTAAGGTAACATCATGGCAGAACTCACGTGTAGCAGAATTCGTCCTCGTTGCGCCAAATTCCAGGATTGAGCAGGCAAGTCGATGCAACTCCTGCTTCCTTATCGACTTGTAGGACTGGTAAAGCATATACTACGGTGTTGATCATTCCGTGAGCATAATCCCTTCCAATCAATTAGTCTTATCACCGACAGTTGCGAAATCGTCAGCTTACGGGACGTTGCTGATATAGGCTCTGGTGTATGACCTCGGAAATTCGCTGGGACGAGTGTGGTCGGTTTTTAACCTCATCTTCGCAAGTTCCTGCATGAGTTCGCCGCTCAGGATCTCCAACGTTATTCGGCCCGGCATACCCTTGATGGCCTTCGCGACGGCGACGAAGAAGTCATTAACTACAGTGAATGTTGGTGAGTCGATATCGCGATGATAAGCACTTTCGCCGTTGAGTCTATATTTGGTATTGAATCCTTCTATGAAAGCTGGTGTCTCGAAGGGTTTCGGGTTTAAAAAAGGCTGTCTTTTTTTATTTCGGGAATCCTAAGACGCAGACGCGAAAGCGTGAGAATTGTGAGGTCTCTCATCGAAGGCTACGAACGCACCACCAGGGTCGGGTTGGCCTTCCAACATTGTGCGATGCTTTGAGTCAACTAAACACGTCTCAGCGTAAGTCTTATAGGAGTCAGAAAACGTAGGGGTAAAGAGGTACCGTGAGGTTCTGATCCACGAGCCTTTGCGGATCCAATTTCTTGAGTCCTCGGTAAGTGTCAAAGGCAGGATGCCGTGACCAAAGTTCTTGCGGGGGAAGAAATACCTTCGTCCTGTCGTACCATAGCTTCTCGAATGACAAAGATCCAATGTCTGTCATTGCTATGTCCATCATAGTCTCTACAGCTGCTTGGTACCGTTCTTCGTACTTCTGTCTCTGCGCTGGCGTTGCGCCTGGTCCGGGGTCGACGATGCCCATCTGTCTCAGGCGCTTGGGGCCCGATCGTTGAAACTCCGACATTACATCTTGACGTTTTTGCTCGTGAAAATGAAGAGCTCTCTCTCTATACTCTGGAGATACACTTGGGTTATTGAGCATAGCCATGTCGTTCTCCCACGAGGTAGGTTTATGGGCCTCCAGGACTTCCCGCGTGTGTAATGTGCCCGGGACGGTTGCCCAGAATTGCAGAGCTTCCAGCAGACGCGGTATAGCTTCTGCATTAACGTGGATCCAGGAAGGTAATCGAGGAGGGCTCTTGTTCAGACGTTGCTGAAGATCTTGCATGACCTTTTGTAGTCTATGTCATAAAGTATGAATGCGTCAACTACGCCGCATGATTCGTGCGGATTGCTCACCGATCATGGCAGTAACCAGGCATGATAACACCAAGATAGGTATAAAACAGTGTTGACTGTATCTCGAGTAAGGTCGTGGGATCTACACCTCTATCGTCAACCAGGGAATCCAACAGCATCATTTGCATAGGTCACGAGCGAGCGCAGAGGGCTAAAGATCCAACATGGTGAAATGCACGTGAAATTTATTGCGTTTCGCCTTGGACAAATTCTCGAAGGCTCGACGCAGTCCGATAAGCGTCGCATAGACATGGCGTGCTAGATGGAAGATTGAGCAATAGCGAAATACAGAAATGGCATTAAGAATCACCATCCCCGACACCTCCGAGAAGGAACGCAAGCTCAGATAACTGATCCTTCTGCATTTGGTTGATATTCAATGGGATAGGGTAGTCCTTTCCCCAGTTATCCACCAGAGACATCGGATAATCGTGGCCTATCTTCATGAACGTTAGCAAGTAAGCACCTAGTTACCGATGATCAGCGAAAGCACAAACAGTAAAGAATTCCAACGCAGATATCGTAAGATTGTCAGCACAAAATCAGCATGTAGTCGACCTGAACACAGATACAGCAGACGCACGTCATTTTTTTGAAAACTGGTAAGCGAGCAAGCCAATTGCGAGACTTGACCACGTCTTCAGGGTGATACTTCGCTTCCAGTTCCATCAACCTCAAATCTTTCCAGGCCTGTATACTATTGGAGGTCCTCTCTGGATCTTCGAGGATAGCCTATTCCATCGGCGCCAAAATCTGTGCATTCTCGCGAAAATACTCGTTGCATACACTCCCGCAACGAATACCCTGGATGAGCGCTTTGCACATGCGTGCAGACAGCCTCAATGCCAGAGAAGGACTAGATCCAACCGACAGAAGCTTCCATGAGCGAACGATGGCACCAACGCATGCTGTGTAGTCTCCAGCCTCGTAACATGCTGCACTTAGGTTTGAAGGGTACACAGGGTCGTCAGGAGATAACTTCTCCGCCTATCCCGTTGAGACAGCGTAAATGAATGTTTTATAGGAGAAGATATTGCGACAAGATAGACACCTTAGTGTACAGTTCAGCTGCTCTGTCGATTCGAGATTAGAACAAGCTCCATTTTGCAAGACAACGCAGAAACTCACTGTGTAAATTGACCGCTTTTAAAAGACTCGTTTCCTTTATTCTTGTAGTCCTCGGCTGAAGCTGAAGCCATCGACTCAAAGAATAATCTTCAGATGAAGAGCAAACGACAATCGTTCCAAGATCAGCAGCCGGGACCAGAATCGTGCGAAACGGCTCCAATGCCGGGGTAGGTAGGTAGGTAGGTAGGTAGGTAGATTACCGGCATTGGTCCCATTCAGGAACGCCGGGTTGTCGCACCTAGATCTCTGCTATGTACCCGTGCACAGTACACTACAGAAATCGGGGGATATAGCCTGCGACCTCGAGGCGCCTAGTGTGTGACCTAGTTTGGACATGGTCGTTGCCTCTATGTGACGCGATGGGCCGATCAATGGTGCGCGACACGACCACGTGCCGACGCGCCCGAGGTCAGACACGGATATCCGAGGTACGAGGTTGAAGCAGAGTGTCTACCATCTGCCCTCGGGAGACTACGCCCGAGTCAACTCAGGGCAGAAATCTCCCCTTGGAATTGCAGCAATGTGACAAGGAATGGCATATGTGAGAGAAGACACTGAAAACTATGCGGCGGATGGCTCATAATGTCTGCGATGCAGGGAGTATAAAAGTCATCCCGGCAATACATGGCTTATGCATAAATTTACTGAACTGAACTTTGGAGGCTGCTCGATGAGGCCTTGAGACCTCAAGAGCTACTATATGTCCATTCTCTCTCCAATGAGATAGCCAAACAACCCCTCCCTTAGAACCTTTCGACCATGAATGCAACAAGTACCCAAACAGATCAACAATTCACTTGGAGAACCACTGGCACGCCAACTCCTGCCAACTCCTGAGCTTCACGAAACACAGGCATTTCGATTGCACCATCGATCATTTGTTAAACAGCAAATTCTGTTAAAACTGGGAGAACACCCAGTCGCTTTAGTCTTATTTTGCACAAATGTAAGCTCGCACAATGCAAGTTTCGGAGAGCAGATGCTAGTTAGCAAGCGCGAGCCAAATAGAGTATATCCAGCGAGAATAGCATGTCCGAGTACTCCTTTAGAAAATAGTTGTTTGGCTTCCGATTGGGGGAAAGCTCGTCATCTCTCCTGTATTGAACATTATTCGGACACATATGTGCATACCCCCATGCCAGGAGACGGGTGGGTGTCAGCCATACGTGTGACTGTGCGCGCTTGGGTTCCATATCTTTGTAAGTGGCAGATGCCAAAAAAAATCGATTTTCTCCAACATTTAATATTTAATATTGTTGATATTGGGCGTGCAGTAAACGGAGCTGTCGCGTCGAGCCACTCGCTCAAGTGAAGCAGGGTGCGCAGGATCTGAATCGAGATTTGGCTAAATTGCGGGCGCCTGTCTCGAGCGGTCTTCACACTTTCTCACCATACGGGTTTTTGACTGGGCTTCAACAACCAAAACCATACCTCAACTTTATTTCCGCCCCTCTGTTCACAGCCCCAATGTCTCTCAAAAGTCAGATGAGTAAAGTAATAAGATCGGCACTTTCGTTTACACGGTTGTAACTGACTGTTCGCCTAGTGCAGCACCTGCTATATCAGCGCTACGGAAAAGCCACTTCAGAAATGTGCAAGATGCAAGGTTGGTTCGAGTACAAATTTGCTGGGGCTGGAATAACGGACTTAACATAGGCGGCCAAGTATTGTTCGAAAGAATGTCAGAAAGCTGACTGGAAAGTATGTGGCCCGCGTCCTATCTCCTGTAAGACAGCTTAACCCGCGGCAATATCGGGACCACAGAACCACAAAGTCAACTGCATGAACAACGCCACACTGGCTGAAGCCCTGAAAGAGCACGATAGCACGCCACTTGGCCAACTGGCGCGGTTGAGCATCCCGGACAATATCTCCATGTACGAACTGGACCAGCGCCTCGAGGGGTGGGTCAAGTTCCACAACCCTACGCTCATGGGCTCCGCGCTACACGCACTGGAACTCTCCCGCGACATCATGCGCACTCGCTCACACGTCATGTATGTCAAGCTCGCCGCGCGCCCGCGCTCGGAGCATGGGAACGCGGTCGGCAAGTTCTTCCGCGTCATCGACGCATACCCCGTAGCGGTGGCCGAAGCGCGTCAGTGGCCGGAGCCGTGGCCCGCGTCGCTGAACGCCCTCAAAGAAATGCAGGAGCTGCATGCTAGCAACGGGAGACCAGGAAATACAGCTGCAGCTATGGTGGAATGCTATCCTCTCGCGGTGCAGACCGTCCCTTTTGGTTCCATCCCGAACATGGACGACTTGCCCCCATTGCCCAACTGGAAAGATGTACTGATTGAAGAAGTAGATGCGGGAAGACGGTTTAGATGGCGGTGACGCGGACCACCTGTAAATACGGGATGATACGGCATCTGATTTTGCATTCGTACATCGTCTAAATACAGGAGTCATTCTTAGGTCCTTTCCCTGGTAAGTAGGTGCTGCAGAGATCACACTTGCGGCACCATCAACACTGTCATGCGAACATTGTAGCGAGGATGTGAAGCTGTTTCATCCGCACGTCTGCGTTAGAAGGTAACCAAGTAATCAATACATTGGCACCAAAAACATCAGGAAAAGCTATATGCGATAGCTTGCAGGGCGCATCAGCGTTGACTGTATCCCAATCATTGTAGGGTACCTCTTCAAACCCTCATCGGTTACACAGTTGCATATTACTTTCCAATCAACACCTCGTGAATGATTATATCGCGAGAAAGTCCGTCTCCTCTTCCAACAGCAAGTCCAGAAACTTGAAAAAAGACGCTGCGGGGAAGCCGACGACGTTCTGGTAGTCACCATCGATTTTACGGATCAGCATACCACCCACACCCTGGAACAGCTGCACGTTAGCCAATCAATGCAATGAGACTGGCAGGTATCCTTGCCTGGATAGCGAAACCGCCTGCGCGATCAAGACCCTCTCCGCTGTCGACATACGCCTCGAGCACTTCTCTGGAGTTCTCAGCGAAATGCACTAATGTCCGTTCTTCTATCGATCTGCACGCAAAAATCCAGCTCCATCCAGTATATATAGCTCGTTAAAGGCATACGCACTTGATTTTGTAACCTGGAGCTTCCAGCACCGGGAAGACTGACCCAGAAAGTCATTAAAACGTTCTACCCCACCCATTGTGCCGAGAATATGGCAGCGCACCTACTGTGACACCTGTTACGACCTCGCACACTCCCCCATTGAGATCAAGCAGCATGCGGAGGTTGTCCTCCTTCGTACCAGGCTTCTCGAGCACGTCCTGTGGACCTGTCGACGCATCCGCGAACGCGAGGGAGGAAAGGCCCGGCATTGGATGTGACAGGACGACAGTGTCCGCTGAGGAATAGGACAAGGATAAGGTCAAGACGCTCCTGATAGGCGACGATGCGAATTGGAGACAAACCTGCGATAACGAGATCCGGCGCGTCCTCTGGATCCGCTTGCTGTACTCGAAATCAGCAAACGAATCCTGAACGCACTGCCTTAGTCGCTAGAGAGCACACTGCCGTGCGATACTGCAATCCCGTACAGGTGTCTGGATAAATCGACCTCCAGACTTCTGTCTTGGCATTGAAGTACCGCTGCGCGGAGACAAATGTAATTAAGCAATGCACTCACCACAAGCCGTTCATACACCTCAACCGCCTTGTGTGTCGCAGTCGCTACAGGATACTCATGCACGTCCCCGAATGATGACACGGGTAATGTCTCATCGAATGTCGAGGGTACGATCTCTGGTGAGAGACCCTGCAACGCCCAACCAACCCCATATTGCCACGAGAACCGACAAGAGTAGATTGAACACGGTCAAACGAACAATGTGGAGTGTACAAAGTCTCGACGCACGAAAGTCTGGAGGATATCCTTCCGGCGGGGGCTATTCGACGCCAGGATGACACGCTTCTCTGTCAACTTGTTCAAAGAGGACAAGCGCAACGCGTGGGGGAGGACACAATTATGTTCTGGCAGGGTGATCTTCTTGGAATTTCCGAAGAGGTTCATCATGGTGTCTGCCCACCCAGCCACGGCTATGTCTTCAAGCTCGACTGAACACTGGAATGTAAGTTAGACGGGGATGACTTGCAATTGTAGCGTCTAACTGCGCGTCGACCAAATTACGAGTGTCCTAATCGAGAAAAGGACAAGTTGAAGCGCATGCTACTCATATTTCAATAGAAAGCGCTGCTAGAGGTGGCCAGGGCCGGGCAGTGAAATTTTGGCACTGGATACCTCCTCACCCCCGAAGATTAATAAACGGCCCGAGGGTCAGGCAAAAGTGCGCATAATGAGGCTTATTTTCTGAAGACTACACTGAACGATATTTCGACATGGAATTGTCCGGAAGAACATTAGCCTGTACAAAGCCGAATGACATGTTCACTTCGTTACGTGGGATACGTACATCCACCGCCAAACCGCAACACATACTACCAGGTCCACTCCCGCACGGTCACTGTGCTTCGTCCAAGAAGCCACGGGAAAAGAGATATCAGTTGAACACGCATCCCTCGCGGCAGACGAATGCACAATACTTGACCTATTCATCATACCCAACTGCGAGACGGCCGCGAGTCTCGTGTATTCGGCGAGACCGAACACCCGTAGATTTGGGAATAAGTGGAAGAACCCTGAAGTTCCACGCATCGTGACAAGAGGCGCACGGTAAACATTAAGTATCGGCGGAGGTAGAATGGCAACTCAAAATGAGCAACAGCGGGCATAGAGGGAACGGCAGCCATGGCAATAGCTGCGCCCCAACGATTGAGGGTAATCTGACCAGAGCTGTGAGTGAAACTAGAGTGCATCGTCGATGATCGCCGGGATGTAGAACGTCAGAACGCCACCTGCATCGGCAACCTCACCGATGTAGACATAGAGAATCATGGCGTGGTTCTGGCAGATACCTGAGAAGCGCAGACACCACATCAAAGCACCGAAGAAGATCGTAATGAACGCGCAGAATAGCGACATGACAGAAACAATGAGTCAGTAGGCCAATGTCAACTGAATAAAAATGACGCACAAGCAATGGTTGTCGTTGAGACAACATGGCTGTTGAGGAACTTTGTGAAGCTTCGGAGTGAGACAAGCACACCGTACTTCTGCGTCGGGTCGCGTGCGTCGGGGTCGTTGCCGTTCTGGCTCGCCTGGGGATCCTGACTGTTCCCATCTCGTACTGCAGAGAGAGTCTCAACTGTAAGATGCGGGCGCACTCTATAATATCGGGGTGGACGCACTCATTATGGGGTTAGTGAGCCCAGACCACGAGACATCGACACGGGCACTTTCTGTGCTGGCTGAAACCTGAAGACAGCCGGACGCGTTCGCTCGTACTGCTACAACATCTGCGGCAAGCGGACGGAGCCGCTCTACAACCGTGCGGAGTTTCGCAAGTGGTGGAAGGAGTATGTGGACCTAAAAGGTGAACATCGCTAAACGATGGACGATTACCAGAAAGGGGGGCAAACCTCGGGCTCAGGACACATAGGCTCCCGTAATTTCCCGACATCCTGTGGTCTCAACACCTCAATACGGACATCGTGAGCGACGCGTACACGGCGGCCCATACGTGTGGTCCCTGCCATCTCGAAGTTGAGCACTGCTTGATCATTCTTCTTCGCCAGCCTGGAGGGACCTGACGTTAGGGACGCTGAAAATTAAAGCGTCTCACAACGTACTTCATGACAACTTCCGCGTCAGATGCAAATGAGGACGAAGACGCGCCTTGGGAGCCGGACGGCGATGCAGAGCGAAGAGCGGAGAGAAGAGCTTCTGATGAGAGAGTGAGCGTGATTTCATTCTGTGCGTTGGATTGTATCCGGTAATCTGTAAACAGTGAAGGGACTTTGATCTGCCTGTAAATGAAACAACCGCATTCATCAATCGTTCCGGAGTAATTCAAACAAGGGTGAATGACATACGACCAAACCTGAATACCGCCTTCGTTAACGTCGTTGTTGCATATGATATGCATGTCTGTTTCTGTAAATCTGATGATGCATCGTTTTTGCAGCTTTTCGATGGCTTGTACAATACCTGCAATAGGTGTTTATCAGCCGCAGAAATGGCTCAAAAATTGAACGACCATCTCACGGTAAAATGTCGCCACATTTTCAACGTTTGCACGAAATCGCATCTCGAGAAGTAGATGTTCACCGGCAGAGGAGGCGGAAGGTCTAACGCTCAGCGGTGGCGTGCAAGTCACGATGGTGCGCGCGATCACGTGGCATGGCTCCAGTCACTGCAACATCGGCTGTCTGAGTCTCTCACAACAAAAGTATTGATCTTAGACTTGAACTCAGGTATGGCTGAGCGCTCTATGCAAATCCGGAGGTCCAACACCCAGCTCAACGGGCCCGCTTACTAGCGGGACGTGAGTTGGCATCCAACCTCCATCTTCCGCAAACGGAACGCGGGCCTTGTCAAGTATATATGCATGAGCGGTAGGCCATTTGAGGTTTGTGCGGTGCAGACTCTTTGCATACGCGATGTTCACACATCCCCATAACAGACCAATGTCTTCACTCAAGTGGTATTTTCAGCGGCATTCCCACAGAGTCCCGGGATTGCGGTGAAGGTGTCCGTGTGGTCGACGTCGTGCGTCGTACCAGGAATCTACCTCACATATTCGATGGTACTAGTCCAGGGAGAGGAGGAAACGAGTTTCAGTCGCGATATGAGTTGGTTTTGGCATTGTTGACTGCATGCGACGCATTTTGCCCTATCTTCACGAGACGCATGGAGCGAAGGATGAGCTTGCGGACCTATCCTTGGCGACGCCCAAGACGGAACCACGTCGGTCGAGCTTGTTGTAGGTAGATGGGTAAACTTTACTGCCCAAACTCTGCGTTTCGATGTTCCGCAATGCAAGCCATGTCCATTCCTAACAAATGTGGATACAGTCTTATGCCAGTCTCAGCCTCCGTAGGTGCACATCAAACCCAAAGAAACTACACATACAGCGATTCCTAATCGTGTGCGAAAGCAACTAGTTCCCGCCGGCACTTCAATCACCTTTGGCCTTGCCCACGCTTGCGCTGCTCTCATGTCGGAGCCAACTCTCCCGTCGAGCCTGACCTGGCGGTGGAGGGGGGGCTGACGCACTAGGGCCGGGCGATCGCGGGAACCCAGCGCCTGCCCCGTTCGCCGAATTGGGTGTCGGTGGGAAGTGCGCGTACATGTTGTTCCCTGCTCCTGGTGTAGGTGGTAGCGAGCCCGCATCCGGGTTGTATGGGGAGCCTGCCGTCGCAGCGGTCGGGAAAGTGGAGCCCATCGCGCTCGCTGTGTACGGCGAGTGCATCGCCAGTGGACGTGCGGCTGAGGAAGGTAAGGGTGGCGATGTCACGCCTGGTATAGGACCAAAGCCAGGCGACGAGATCCCCAAGCCATACACAGAGGTTGGCCGGCGCGTCGTGTCGAGGTTCGGGCTTGACAGTGCACTTGCAGGATGAAGGGAAGCGAAGGTTTGGCTGTACGGGGTGGACGGATGCGACGCTGCAACGGGTGTGCTGGCATAGCTGCCGTACGGACTTCCGCCTTCGACAACCCAGCCCGAGCCCTGCCGCATGACGTTGTGCGACGGGCGCAGGCGCAGGTCCGTGCTGCCGAACCGCTTGCGAATCCCGACCCCGACCCCGCTCGCTTCTGCCTCGATGATGCCCGTGGTCTTGTCTGTGCCCGTGACGGCCTCAACCGCGCGCGTCGTGATCCGCACAGCGTAGCCCATGCACACGAACAACCCGCCAATCACTCCGACGCATCTGCGACGGCCGGATCAGTAAAGGCTCCCAAGGCTATCAACGCAACTGACCTAATCAGCAGTTGCACGAGGGTCGTCGTTCGCTGGTGGATCGTCAGGCTGACCGGCTCCAGGTCGAACTTGAAGAATATCCCCGGGACGCCCTGGTGTGGCTCCAGCACCCGCGTGTAGTGCGTGACGCTGTACTGGTATGTATGTAGTGGCGCCGTCCGAGGCGCAATATATGTAGTCGGCACGACGTGCAGGAAGTACGTGTACGCGACGAACTCTGTCATAAGCCGTCGGTCGCGCGTATAGATCTCGGAAAACCGCACTCACGCTCTTCGGTCAGCTCGAGCGAGTCGTCAAGTGGCTGTACGATGTCTGGGAAGTAGGGCCCGAACGAGAACTCCGTAATGACATGAGAGAGGTTCATGTCTGCCAGGGCCAACATCAATGTGCGTAACACATCACAGTATTACGCCGCTCACGGTTGTGCTGAACGTGGTGGCCGGTTGTGTACCCGTGTCCGAGAGTCGTGACGTGCAAATTCGCTGCCATAAATTAGATGTCCTTTACAACTCCGAATACGCACCGCATCTCACCTGTCACCTTTTTCGCCGATATCGTGCCGTATATTCTACATGCGCTGGCATCCTTCTCGTAGTTGTACGTAGGGCGATACGGGTCTTTGTTTCTCTGAAACAACGTCGAGAAAAAGCCACGAGACGAGCGCGATTGGGCAATGGCCTGGCGCGCAGAGAGCGCAGCAGCATGCTCCTTAAGAGTAGTCGCTTGTCCAACATCAAACTTGGTACCATCCCGCCTGAAGTTGCTGCTGAGAAACAGCCTGTCTCCCACAGCATCGCGCAAGTCGACACTCAGGTCTGTTGGCTCTTCATTAGTTGGAGCTGATCAATTACTTTCCGACAAGGGGCAATGCAAAAGGAGATGTAGAATAATCCAAATTGAGACTGTCAGGCCAGATCCACGACGGCTTGAAGGACGATCGGACGAGTACGATGACCTCGGTTGCGCTGTCACGATCTGAAGTCTTAGACTAAGATCGTTACAGGCTCGCGGCGTCGCTGCAGACTAGGGATTCAAGTACATCAGAGGAATGTACCACTCACATTGACATGGCATGTTCACCACCAGGTCGACATTCAGCTTCATGTCATTTGTTTGGTCTCCGTCGACACTGAACTCGAAGTCGGGCCAGCCGAATATGTATTCTCCAAGGTCATTGAGCACGAGCAGGAAAGCAATGATAGCGACGAAAAGGGTGAGAAATCCACGAGACTCAGAACGTGTTTTGTAGGTTGACGGAAGTTTGGGAAAAGCGTCAAATTCAGCTAGCGAGGTTGGTGCTATCTCGTCGAGTTTGTCCAGCAACGAAGGAGATGGTGGCCGTGGTGATGGTGCAGCAGTCGCCATGAATGACGCCGACGACAATGAACTACCGTCAAACTCTGCAGGCGAAAGGGGAAGAAGTACTGGGCACGTGCTCAATGTCTGACGTGTCTCTTCACCTTCATGAATTCTTGCCGGTCACCGGTCGGTCACCCCGCGCAGTGGCATTACAAGTATTTCGGAAAGATTTCTTGAAGATCCAGAACACCTCTGTTGACTGCAGGACTAAATGCCTTCAGTCTGATCCCAGATGGCACTAAACTATTGAGCTTTCTGTGTTGTGAATCATGTACGATATTACTTACACCGGTACCACCTCGTCCGGTCGTCTACTTCATATTCACGCACTGAAACCGAGTAGTAAGAAGGATATAATTCCACCTGCGCGTATATATGGTGGCTCCCGGGCCCAGATGATGATGATGAAAATCTGTGTATTTATACTGCAAGCAGGCGATCAAGTGCGCCAAGGAACAGTCTCTAACGTAGGTAAATACGCGCTGGTAAGGGGTTGTCGAAAAATAGAAGTGTCTTTGCTGCCATGAAAGCAGTGGTGTCTCATGAGTACTGCGTTGTTTGGGTGTGGGGAAGTGATGTCAACGGTGGGAGTCTATGAAGTGAAAAAAGGAAAACGGAGAGATAGAAAAAAGAAACCGAGAAAGCCCTTCACACCGACTGAACCTCTTGCCATCCTCAACGTGTTCCCCGCCTAGCTCGCATTCACCAAACTCTACTCACCCGCATCAAAGCTCCATCCCGTCCTCCCATTGAACCTCCTTCCACGTCAGCGATTCACGGTTGGGACGAAGAGGGTTCGGCATCCCTGCTTATTACCCCTCCCCATCGACGTACTACGCCACGTCGACTAAGGCCGCAAACGCATTCCTGCTATGGTGGGGCACAACTCCCGTAGGTTCATGCAGCCGTCTTTCGGCAAATGCTCCCGTGTGTGAATCGTGTGAGGCGGAAAAGTGGTGGTGGGATACCTAAAATGAAGACCTCAATTGAGGCAGAGAGATGGATGGCAAGTGCTGGATAGTGGATGCATGTCGAGGATGGACAGAGTAGAAGGTTTGAGGATCCAGGCTGGTGGATGCATCGCGACGAAGTCGGATGTACCCTGTCGAGTGAACACGTGGGGGAACGACTGCCGCAATGGCGAATCGGACGATGTCGAGTCGGCTGTCTGTCTGTTGGTGGTGTCTACAGTCCTCCCATAGGTGAGAATCTGCGTTGACTGGGAGCATCGGACGATGCTCCCTCTCTTTGCTCGGCGAAGAGCATGGGAAAATCCGCACCAGGTGGTGGTACGAGTCCAAGGAGCCCCTCCCGGGCCCAGAGGCGTGTGTGATTGACAATACTGCAGTGGACTTAGCAACTTCAGTACTTATTACTGTAATACTTTTGCTGTGACGTGCATGCAACCATCCAACAACATATTGTGACCGATGTTTTGCTATATATCGGGGAGGAACTCTGCGGGTTGTTTTCACCTGGTTGAGTGTGATGGAACTTGGTCAAGGAAGAATCCAAGTGCAAACAGGATGGACGTCAAGTTTATGTATCATTGATGAGGGAGAATGTCATCCACGGCCATAGGACTTCGAAAGCACCGCATCCCGTTTGATCTGCGCAGTTAACCGGAGTGCCGCCCAGTTAGTACCACGGTGGGGGACCACGCGGGAATCCTGGGTGCTGTGGTTTTGTTCTTTTTTCGCATGCTTTGCTTCGGGCCTTGCTCGACAATTGGATTTGGGTCAAAAGCTCTAATTTCTTCGCTTCTATTGCAACTTGAAGAGCGGTAAAAATCCCTCTCAACTGCCTTATTAGGCACTCCCACATTCTATGATTATCACATAAGGAGAATTTCTCACCAAAAACGGGAAATATCGATGGGGAGACTTGATTCACCTTGTGACTCCAAAGCGCAGAGGATATCAATGAGTAGGTTTGCAGAGAAGAATTAGAAACTAGCCGAAAAAAAAATTGTTGTAGATACAATTTCGTGTAGTCCTCTCACTCCTTCATAGTTAGTTTCCTAATCGGGCACGGACGCTCGCGTAGTATACACGCTCGCTACACGTTTCGTTTCCCTCAGTCCTTTTGCTGTTGACATCGGATTGAGGGACTGACTCAGTCCGTGTCTAGTCTTCAACAGGTTACAAGCCCCGAGAGGCAGCTAAAACGCGCACTCGACTCGCCAGCTGGACCTCCCGCGTGAGATCGCAATGAGCGGCAAACGATGCAACCCCTGGAGCGGATGCTCATCGCCACGCGGGCGCTCTCCGACTCCTCCACCTTTGCGCAGAGCCTACTGGGATGAACCTGGCACGCCTACCGGCAGTCACAGGCCGCGTGCGAGACCGCAGTGCAGCGGAGAAAATCTGTACGCGCAGTCTTCACCACGCGGATCCGCGGCACCTTCAAGACGGCCCACGCCGAGCCCGAACGCAGGCGGAAGGAGGTACAGGCCTTTGGGAGAAGGCGGAGCAGAGCACTGGACCCTGCACAAGGATACCGACCACTCTTCGCACATGAACCTTACGAAGCTCCCCCACAAGCTCACGCTGACGAACTACGTATCGTGGATGACGACGATGGAATCAACGCTCGACACTATCAAACTCTTCGAGTACGCTACCGGAGAAGTTCCCGAGCCCGATCCGGATGTCGACGAGGCGCGTGCGCGACGCTGGAAGCGCGCGAACGCCTGCGTCCGACTCATACTCGCGTTGAATATGACCGAGGAAGTCATGTCGCAGATCAGCCACCTCATGGTCGTGGCACAGGTCTGGCAAGAAGTGCGACGACTATTCGCAGGCGAAACCCTTACCGACTGGATGCTTCTTATCACCAGTCTCGTCACGACGAAGTATGCCGATGGCGAAGATCTGACCCTTCATATTGCAAAGATGAAAGCGTACCGGCGAGATCTCATCCTCATGTCCCGAAATATCCCTGATGACCTCTATGCTTGTTTCATCCGAATCTCTATGCCACAATCCTGGAACTACATATTTTCTGGCCTTTCTCAGTACTACACATCTTCTGAGATTGAACGACGTCTGAAGGAAGAATATGCCATACGACAGAACCAGCAATCGACAGCGCGAGCATACAATGCCAAGCAGCAGTCAGGCAAGCGATCGAAGAAGGAATATAAACCAGGTGACCCCTTCTGCAAGAATTGCGAACGGCCCGGTCACTACATCAAGGACTGCTGGTCGAAAGGGGGTGGAGCTGAGGGGAAGGGACCACGTAGTAAGAAGAAGGAGAAGAAGGATTCAGAGAAACAGGATGTGAAGGGGAAGGAGCGAGTGAACGAGGTGAAAGAAGACTCCGACCATCTCTCATGCATGGCGGCACCCGGCTCATCCTCCCGATTCACCTGGATTCTCGACGGCAGATCTACCACTCACATCTGCAGAACGAAATCGGCCTTCGTTACATTCACGCCTTTGAGCGAGACAATCAGTGGCATTCGGAAGACAGGACCTCAACTTGAGGTGCACGGGAGAGGTGATATCCTCATCCTGTGCCACGTTCATAGTGGAGACCAGCACATCGTCACGCTATGAAATGTATGCTACTGCCCGGACACACGCGACAATATTATCTCGGAGAGCCATATGGATCAGAAGGGACTATCAATCTACAAGCAGAATGGCCTGGTAGCTATCCAGAACTCGAATGGGAAGGTTATCATGGAAGGTGCACGATGACGTGACTTATATGAACTCGACTGCGCGATCGCCCCTCCATCCTCCCATCCCTCTGAGATCTCATTCGCCACCCAACTCTCTCCATCTGATAGCGAGCTTTGGCACCGCCGGCTTGCTCATATCGGACAGGGCAGTCTCCAATACATGGTAAAGCACGCCCTTGTCACAGGACTCAATCTGAAATCTGTAGAGACACTTGGCCCATGTGACGGCTGCGCGAAGGGGAAGCATCACCAAGCACCCTTTCCGAAGCAAGCCACCAATCATGCTACAAGCATTCTCCATCGCCTCCACATGGATCTTCAAGGACCATTTGACCTATCCGTCACCGGCTATCGCTACGCACTCGCTGTCATTGATGACTACAGCCGCAAGGGATGGAAGGCTTTCCTGAAGGCCAAAAACGATGCGACTTCGGAGATCAAGGATTTGGTCACACACCTCGAGACGTTCTCTGACAAGAAAGTCAAGATCGTTCGATCCGATGGTGGTGGCGAATTTATAGGCAACGACCTCCAGACATATTTCAAATCGAAGGGGATCAAACACGAGACTTCCGCTCCACACACTTCACCACAGCACGGCGTAGCCGAGTGCTATAACCAGACAACACATGAGCACGCCCTCTGCATGTTGCAAGAAGCTAACATGAGCTCGGGTTTTTGGCCTGAAGCCCATGCATACGCATCGCTTGTCCGCAATCGGAGTCCTACAAGAGCCCTGGTTGAATCCACGCCCAACGAGAAATTCTATGGCCAGAAACCAGATGTCTCAACCCTTCGCATTTTCGGAGCATGCTGCCATGTTCGTGTTCCCCCCGAATCCCGAAAGAAGCTCGATGCACACTCACTTGATGGCATTTTCTGCGGTTTTGCACCTAATCAGAAGGCGTACAAGATCTGGATCCCTTCAAGGCACAAGTTTATGGTATCTCGAGATGTTATTGTCTACGAGAATGTCCCAACAATGCCCGAGGATGATGACCAAAACCCTGCTTTGAGCGAGGGGGTGACCGCGAGTAAGTCCACTCAAAGCAATAGTCCTGACAAGGCTGTTGGCAGAGAAACTTCCGCGACATCACCACCACATCCTCCAACTCCTCAGACTTCGGCATCACCAGCTCCAGCGCCAATCCCTATGCCGCCCGAAAATCAGCCATCCACTGCATCAGCACCCACTCCCGCCAGTACTCCCGCACCAGCACCAATGCCCACACCAGCTCCGGCACATCTCCGACGTTCAGAATGTGTCACGCGCCCATCTTGGATCAAGCAAGCTGCCGAGAAACAGCAGGCACAAGAACAGGCGACGAAGACACACAACAAGGCGATCAAGGAAGCATGCACACTGCAGAGACAAATGAAGGTACAGGCGAGGACAGCTCCAGAACCCATACCAGAGGACGCCACGGTCCCAATGACACCCGAAGGTGATGTCACGCAAGTCGCCTATATGGCGGCATTTGGCACGGACACGCCAATGAATTTCCGTGAGGCGACGAAGTGCTCGGAGGCCGATAACTGGTGGATAGCAATGCACGAAGAGATCGACATGCTGCAGAGGCGTGGTACATGGGTACTCGAGGACTTGCCACCTGGCCGGAAAGCCATCAGCAACCGCTGGACATACGTTATCAAGCGCGGCCCACAAGGCGAGATCCTACGATACAAAGCCCGACTTGTTGCACAGGGATTTTCACAGATTCCCGGCATAGACTTCAATGACACATTTTCCCCCACTGTTCGACTCGAATCTCTTCGGGTGATCTTACATCTCACCGCCGCACATGGATGGCATCGTGGACAGGATGACGTGACTGGCGCGTTCTTGCACAGCAAGGTTGACATTATCATTTATATGCAGCAGCCTGTCGGATTTGATGACGGTACTGCATCAGGAAAACCCAACTTTTACTTAAAGGTGTCCTTATGTGACTTAAATGCACTTATGGGCCTTAAATAAGGTAAAAAAGGACAAAAAGTCCATAAGTCATATTTCCTTAGAGGCTTAAAAGTTGACTTTTGAGAACTTATTGGCCTTAAATAAGGCAAAAAAGGACAAAAAGTCGGAATAAGTCTCATAAGTAAAAGTTGGGTTTTCCTGATGTGGACGTGTTTGTCGCTTACTGCTCAGCTTGTATGGTCTTAGGCAGTCATCCCACCTCTGGAACGAGTACATGGATGGCCAACTGTCAACAATCTCATTCCATCGACTGATCTGCGATAGTGCCATCTATGTTCATCGTACAGAAACCGGTGCGAATTCCATCCTGGCGATCCATGTTGACAATACCCTCAGCTTCTCAGACTCAGCAGAGGAGCTCGCTTCTGTCTGAAAGCAGCTTCACAGTATCTTTGAGATGAAGGAGGAGGATCCCAACTGGTTGATGGGTTTCGAACTCATTGACAATCCCCAGGAACATACTGTCTCCATCTCGCACCGCCAGTACATCTCCACCATTCTCAGACGCTTCAAAATGGAGGATTGCATTCCTGTACCAACCCCCATGGAGTCCAGTCTGCACCTCTCAGTTCACGATGCACCGTCGACACCGGAGAAGATCGCGAAGATGAAGAAACGGTCGTATCGCGAACTTGTTGGCGCCCTGACCTGGATCTCGGTCATCTCGCGCCCTGACGTAGCATTTGTCAGCGCGCACCTCGCGCAGTTCAATGCCAATCCCGGCAAGAGGCATTGGGAAGCCACGAAATGAGTGCTTCGATATCTCGCGGGCACTCGCGACCTTCGCCTCGAATTGGGAACTGCGGACGAGGAAGGCGACACGAATGAATTGGTCGGCTATACGGACGCGGACTGGGTGCGCGACGTTGACACTCGACGCTCCATCTCGGCATACATTTTCCAGCTCGGCAACTCATCAATAGCCTGGAGCAGCAAACGCCAGACGACCGTTGCCTCATCGTCAACTGAGAGCGAATATATGGCCTTGTCTTATGGCACGAAACAGGCACTGTGGTACCGGTGTTTCCTCACGGAAATTGGACTCACTCTCGGAGGAACCCCTACCACACTCCTAACAGACAATATGGCTGCCAAGGACATTGCGAAGGATACTCGTCACCATGGACGTACCAAACATATCGATGTACAGCACCACTTCATCCGTGAGCACATACAAGATGGAAACTTCAATGTTGTTCACTGTCCCACTGCAGCAAACATTGCTGATGGACTCACCAAGCCCCTGGACAAGGAGCCATTTTCCAAAATGGTTTCTGATTTAGGACTCTCACTCCATTGAGGGGGTGTGTTGTAGATACAATTTCGTGTAGTCCTCTCACTCCTTCATAGTTAGTTTCCTAATCGGGCACGGACGCTCGCGTAGTATACACGCTCGCTACACGTTTCGTTTCCCTCAGTCCTTTTGCTGTTGACATCAGATTGAGGGTAAGCTACATTCCTTTACTATACATTAGTTACTCATGCTGATCTACCTGTAGGACTGACTCAGTCCGTGTCTAGGTAGATATCTCAGTCCTTTTGCTGTTGACATCGGATTGAGGGACTGACTCAGTCCGTGTCTAGTCTTCAACAAAAATTGCCTTAGGGATGTGCTAGACACTGGTTGAACAAAGGAACAAAAGAGCTGAGCAAAACCACAGCACCCAGGATTCTCGCATGGTCCCCCACCGTGGTACTAACTGGGCGGCACTCCGGTTAACTGCGCAGATCAGACGGGATGCGGTGCTTTCGAAGTCCTATGGCCGTGGATGACATTCTCCCTCATCAATGATACATAAACTTGACGTCCATCCTGTTTGCACTTGGATTCTTCCTTGACCAAGTTCCATCACACTCAACCAGGTGAAAACAACCCGCAGAGTTCCTCCCCGATATATAGCAAAACATCGGTCGTTCTTCCAATTCATCTGGTAAAAATACTCCGTACTTGGCATGTGCAACATCAATATCAATGGGATAAGCTTGGCATACATATGATGATTCGCCTCAGGAGAAACAAAGTGCTGCGAACTTCATCAGCAAACCCGGCCTCAGTAAGCAGCAAAGGCATCATTATATGTGCCAACATGATCTACCTCGGAGGGTAGCTTGACTACTTTGTTACCAATCTTTACCGATCACTCAGGGGTGTGATGTACATGGTCTGCACCAATGTCAGCATGCAAACCATCTAATCCTGTGCACCACTTGCACACACTAACTATTCCTGAATTAAGCTAGAAAAGATTCTTGGTGTCGATTGGAATGAACTTCTTGCACTCATCTAGCAAGGTATTCTTTCGGACGACCATGTCCGTCTTCGGTCTCACAAATATATTGGCCAGAGTCAGCGGTAAATGAGACAAATCCTAGATACGTATACACTGAGACACAAGATAAAGAAAGCCGGATACATGACTCCAATTTTTATGCACTCACCATGTTCAACACATGGAGGTTCCCAGTCAGAGTGGAATACCAAGCATAGACACAACAACACAAGTATCACCCGCGATATTGGCTTAGTATCACCACCCCGTCAGTTGTCAGTATAAATATAACTCTCATTTCGATCAATTTCGCAGTGTCTGGACGTATATCAGAAAGGCATGCAGCCCAAAATACCGCAGTATTTGGGGGGTGTACTGCCCTATGTTCGCAATGCTCTAGTCGTTCATCGACATTGACATTGAGGTAACATACTCCGGTAACGAAATTGAAGTCAATGACCACTTTTTCGCCCTCTTACATCACCATGTCGGGGAGCATGACCCTGAGACACAAAATATTCGGAAAATTTCGACGAGAATCGTGTACCTTAACGTGGCCCTGTTCAAAATACAGGAGGTTGAGTACCACGAAAAGGTTGGAGATCCTGAAAAATGTCGCCCACCACAGACAAGAATTCAATGTGTCGCACAACCATGTATGATCTGGAAAGCCCCATATTGATACGTTGAACGGCAGAGTGGAAACGATAGCAGAGTCGGACAGCTCGTAGTGACCTACGCAAGCTTCGAAAGACCGCAGACCGCCGCCCTTGACCGAGTAATACTGTGGCACAGGAGAACGAGACCAGAGGAAAGACGAGGTTTGTCAGGATTGCATGCGCGCTTCAAACCCTCGGCCAGTAAAGAAGCCAAGTCTTCAGCTTGGGAGCAATCGCGTGCGGTCGCCGAGGGCATGTAGGAGACACGGGATGACACATGCACTAGAAGGAACCACGCTGCAAACATCTCGACTTTCAGTGCACTGGTGGCATGAATACTTTGATAAATTACGTTTAACCTGCGTATCACGTTGTAAACTGCTATGCATTGCTTGTCAACTCAGAAAAGGTTGTAATACAACAGACATGCTCATCTGACAGCCGTGGTGAGGACGTTTCAAGCGCAGTACTAGTTGTGCAGGCATGAAATAGCTATAGAATAAAGCTGACTAGAGCCTCTGATTACACAACATTGTGAAGTCGAAGACTTGGATTCTCCTGAAAAGGGCTATAGGTCAGGACCCCCGCGCGTAACAGGGGATTTGTTTCCAATGTTTTATGAGCGATTATGCTGGAAAAGAAGGCCGCCGTTAAAGATGAAATTTAAATGGAAAATGCCACTGAGCGCTTACATGTCACGTGGGTTAGTCGCGCCAAGTCTCACACTGTGAGCCATCATGATTGTCGCCACTCTGTCTTGACTCTTGAATATCTCTGCCAACGAATAGATTAATGCTAGGATGCCTGCTGGGAGGGTCCACGACCTGACTTTGTCTCTAACTACTCCACCATTACCGGCTCCGATAACGGTTAACACTCGCTCGCTTCGACCTCGTCGGGCGAAGGCCAGTGGGCGTTCGAGCACCACCGCTTCATTTTCCAGGTCCAGGTCTAGCTCTGTGATGCAAGCGGAATCAAGTACTTCGACCATGAGCACTGCTCAGAGTGGAGCGGACAGAGGAAGTGGTGTACTGGCTGGAAGCGAGGATGCACCGGAAGAGCTGCAGAGGAAGGATATTCACAACGTACATCGGGATCTGGGGAAGCGTCCAAGAACAGAGGAACAAATTACAGAAACCAGTGGCGATTCTTTTGCAAATGTCGAAGGGCCTTCAAGAAAGAGGCAGCGAACTGTTGTGGCAGAAGGATCGAGCGAGGTTAGTCTTGATACCTCATGAAACGCGAAATCCAGTTAGAAACTGATGCCTTGTAATTCTAGACTGCAGTACATCCCGAATTTTTGCCATCCCCACCGCTGGAACTCAATTTGCATATGGAAGAACAAGACAAAAGATCAGAGATCGACGAGGACGATGAGGACGCGGACGGAGACGAGTCTCTGGTTGAATCTGAATTGCAGGGGTTTCTGCTTCCAGGTTCCGGCTCTCAGGAATCCTTAATATCGACATCGACCATACGAGGAGTACCCATAGAGGCTCGTGTAGAGCCAGAGGCGGCTAGCGGGGATTCATCTGCTGCGGGCTCTAGTTGTTCGCAATCACCCGCTCCCGCCTCTCATGCAGAACCGATTAAGCAGGGCGAAGTGATTGATGTAGATGCCATGCCGTCTACGTCCTACGCGTCATCTTCGAGCTCTGACCCGATAGCCTCGACCAGCGCACAACTTCCTCAACCGGTGGCGTCGTCTTCTCGTCTCTCTGCTTTTCCCTCCTTTTCTAGCGTTGTGACTGCCCCTCCACAGACGGAAGTGCCCACGATAGAGCCGCTGTCGGAATACACTTGTCCAATATGTTTCTCACCGCCGACATATGCGACGCTCACACCCTGCGGACACGTGTGCTGCGGAGAGTGTTTATTTGCTGCAGTCAAGACGACGATGCAGCGTGCCACATATTCGGGCGTACTCGGCGAGAGGACGACTGCTCGGTGAGTCCTTGTACAATTAAATTCCGCTTCCCGCATCCTGAGAGCCTTCCAAAGATGTCCTGTCTGTCGAGCGGCCATCCCGGGATGGGATGGGAAAGGTGGTGGGGTCATTGGACTCAAGCCGAGAGCTGTGTTTAGCCTCTGACATTAGTTACTACATCCGTCTGGCTTGCCGCAATAGCAGCCGCCGTATCTCAGAGTGAGTTGCATCGCGTTCTCTTGATGGTGATGGCGCTCAACTCGAACTAGACTGTAGAAAGATAGAATGATGCTCCATTCCATGGAGACCTACCCAGATGGACTGTGTATGACTAGATGTATTCTCTTGGAACTCAGTTTTTCCGTATCGCCATGGACCACAATGTTGAATGCACACGTCGTAGGTTCTTCTTTTATGAGATCATCGTTCTATGCATGAATGTCGCTCGCGGCAAATATCGGCGTAAAGCTCCCAACATCGTGCGTCACTGGCCCATAAATATTTCAGTGAGTTCTCCGTGAGTCAACTAGTCACTGACCGGGCTGAGCTGACGAGTGGACTATGCCGCAATTTCTTCTTTGAAGTCTCACGAGCGCTGAAAATTACAGGTCGTTGGTGTGGAATTGAGCTGCGTCTCATGTCATATTTTGATGGACGCGTTTATCTCAAGCATTACCATAGATGTCTGTGGCTTGTTGTCTGCGTGACTTGCCCTGCGCCGAACTATCAAACCCAGACGTATACAAATTGGGTTTGGGCGACGCTGATCCTTTCTGCATCCAGGTGGGCGCTCCTTTCGAACCTCCGTGTCACTCCTTCCTATGTTCACTTACTCGCAGCAAGCTGGGGTGTGGCGCAATTTGTGACTAAGTGCCCTTAAAGAACGTACTACAGCACTTCCTTGTAAGTTAGTTATTGAAGATTTTCTTGACTCAAGGCTTAGCTTATCTTCGGATTTTATATTAGGTACCCCATGTGCTCGATCTGATGATCATCGCGATATCTCTCGGAGCAATCGTCTTGCAGGAGACTGGGGTCGGGATCGGATATTCTGTGGCACTCGTATTTCCTGCCAAAACCATCCATGGTTCTACCAGTTCTGAGATGGATGTTCTCGTCTAATGATGCCACCATTAAGGAGTTGATGGTGATCAAAACGCTTTCTTCATGTGCCCGGTCGAGCACCAGTATTGTGTGGTACCATATTGTCAAGAGGCGCTTGCCAACCGCGCGCTTGAGGTCAGTAACTGGCCACAGCAAACACGTCAAGGCGCCACAGTGGTTCAGCTGGTTGTTCCGCCTCACCCTTAGAAACATACTGACCTTGAAGTTGGGAGACCCTATCAGCCCATCTGACCTTCTTTAGGTGCAGATGCTCTATTGGCCCTTCTAGCATCAACGGCCTGTCAGAGAATACACAGCCGTGTGAGCGACAGAAGATGAGTACCTATTCGTCGATATGTCTCTTGCGGAGACGCTTCTCCCCGCTCATCAGCCGATGTATAGCACGAATTCGCGGTAATGCCGATGCACGTTCTCCTCCACCTCTATTCCCTCGAAGTGATTCCCTGCTGAACCTGCGTATATATACCATGTGTCTTGTATTTTTCTGAAGATTGCTAGGTTATCCGCTGTAGGTGGGCACATTCGTCAGCCAGCTCACTCTCAAGTATGTCGTCTTATGCCGCTCACCTCAGACCTCTCAACTAATGAGATATCAGTTTTCAGATGGCGGGGCCAGCTGAACTCTATCGTCCGTCGGTCTCGGCGCAACTGTCAGCTTCGACGAGCCTGTGTTCACGATTTCATCATCATGTCGAACAGTTGCTCTGCCGCACTCTACTTAATTAAGAATTTGTCCGTATATCCATCAGTATGTCCCTCCTCAAACAACGCTCCCCTTCCCGACAAGTGACTGCAGCCGCCCCCTCGCGGTCGAGGACTGAGGTACGGACGAACCCGACCTAGGAATTCGTATCATTACGTACTGATAACTCGCACCCGCATTGCCTCATTCGGTGGCATTCATCCAGAGATGCCCTGACCGGACTAGTAAACAGAGATAATCACCAGACGCATCCTCCGGTTGTCCCCCGGCGTGCGCCTTCGCTGCAACCTGTGCCAACATACTTCTATTCATTCTGACATGTTTCACACTACGTTATACATGTACCCGAAGGATGTGGTCTCGTTGCTGCGTGTTCTCATCAGAGAGCGTATTTAAAACGCCCACACAACGAATTTAATCGGTGAGCGCACATAGCGTTTCAAAATATCATCTCACCGGGCTATTGAGTTTTACAGTGAGCCAGCTAGTTTTATGCGGTTAAAGCTCCCTTCGGTACTCTTTGAGCCGCAGTCTCAAGTTGTGGAACCCGTGACGATGTCGAATTTATTAACTTCTTCCCCCAATAAACCAAGTAATGGAGCTAGGATGCTACTGGGTGTCCAGAAAACTCTTTTAGCGATCCACCTCAGTTACTTTATGCTTACCTCTACCCACGAACTGTTCGCCTGAATTAAGGTTCGCCCTCTTGATGACTTGTTGATGCGTATGGCGCACTAGTGCTGATAGCAGACTATCTGCTGGGGTTATTTTGGGCGCAATTAGTTCAGGCTCATTTTCTGTTTGATAGCACCAACCCCTTCACAGGTAGAGTCCAATATTTATCGAATTCACACTGACGCGAAAAAATCTCCCTCTAAGTTGTTGAATAGCCACTCTCTTTGCGGTCCTTCTCCCAGGGCGGGACGATGACGAAGCCTGACGTGCAACACCAGCTGTGAATGGTTCCGATGATCTGTAGCCGTGGCGTTCATGGGACACATGCCGTGTTCGTGTTTGCGCAGCATCACATCATGGCGACCACCCGACGGCACATAGTGAAATCAATCATGTTCTCGGTATCAATTGGCGTCTAGCTCTAGGTTTGGACCCGTAATGGAGACGGTTTACCGTGTCGATTGCCGCGGTGCATTTGTTTATGGCCGGGGTGTCTACAGTCACGGTGTTCGTAGAGTTTCTCGCCCGCGAGTGGCACCTGGATTGAACAATTGGGACATGCGTTCCTGAGATGTAACTACGGAGCAGTGAGGTACAGTGCATGTCCTTGACTGTTGGGATCGCCTCTTCGCAACAATCTGCCAACTGCAAAGCGAATCAAGTGAACTGACCACTAAGCAGCACTGCCCAGGCCTCCGTGTCAGTGCTTCGAAGAAGTTCGTTACTTCCGGTTGCCACACTCGGCCGAAATAGGCAAACTGGTTGGTCACAGTGTGAGAATTCAAATAAACCTCTTTGATGCCTGCCTTACACGAAAGGCCATTACCTGCGGCATTCTCGCCATAATATTATGTGACAAGCCTCGCTTACGAATGCACAAACTCTCCATGGCATTCTCCATGATTGATTTCCCTGTCCCACGAGCGAGATCCAGGCGATGGACCACTGTCTCTGCCACCGCCGTTAACTTAACATCATAGAGAAGTTCACAGAAGCTACTTTCTCTCCCACAGGCTCTGAGACTAACACAAAAACAGTCTGTTCAGAATTGACGAGGGTTTGCTTTGTTCCACACTGATACCGACATTTCCGTCGGAAGTCCACTGTCGCGTTGAGCAGGCTCTCAGCGTTGTCGACATGCTTACCGACGATCTCCCATGGCCAGAGCTCGGTAACGTCTCCCGAGGTGCAACCCGAGGGAATCAAGGCCAAAAGGGCTTTTTGGGACCACCAGACAACGAGGGCCGATGCACCTTGCAGCTCAGGGTGCAGCCTGGCGTTCTGGCCGTGCGCCTGAACCGTCAAGCAAGCGACTGGTATCGCGTTCTAGACAATGAAGTCAACAGGGCTCTGAAGCTGACGAAGAGCTACTGGAGAAAGGCCAGACGTCGGCAGGACTACAATGCGGAAGCGGACCAAGAACACATGGAGCTGCACGAGTGGCTCCAGCAGCTCAAAGACAAAGTGATGTCGCACCTGGAGCTGCTGATGCAGAAAGGGGAGATACAAGGACCTCCATATGTTATGCCGGACGATGTGGAGCTGACGTTCCTTCGCAAGTTCATTGAACGTCAGGCCGCGGGAATTCCACACAACCCTCGATTACGACGGGCATTCTTGCAGAATAACCCGAGTGGTACAAACCAACAGCATCCTGTACTCTCCACTGCCGTCGTTCCGTCCGCCCCACTTTCCTGGAGTGGAGACGACAAAGGTCAGCGATTCCGGCACACAGCCGTATTTGTTTCCTAAGCAATACTCAGATACCATCGACCAAGACCAAGCGGAATCACCTGAAGCAAGCTCTTCTCAAATCGACAATCCGCAAAGTGTGATGGACCAGGTGAACTCCAACCGTGCGTCATCCATTTCCTTCGTTGTATATCTGTACCTCTCATTTTGTCGAAGGAAAAATACTCAGTAGTGCGAGAGCAGCTTTGCTGCGCGCTCAGAGGGAAACACAAGAGGCCTTCGCGTTATATACCAGTTGCTTGGATACAGAGTCAAGAGCACGCCAGCAAGTCTCATTGGCCGAGGAGCGCCGTGACGCCATAAGTACGTTGTTCCTATGAATCACTGAATCCCGGCTGCACAATTTCTCCCCCCTGTAGTGACCGTTCTCCTTGAAAAATATCGCACTGTACCGCCGCAAGGTACATAAATCGTGTTGGTTGGAGATTCAGGGATTCAGCGCCTTTGCTTCAGACGTCGCTACCGCCGTTCATGATTCATCGAATTCCGGATTTCCTCGTTCAGTCTCGAGAGCAAGTACAACTCACTCTCAGGAGGAGACAATGAGCCCGAACCTGTTCGTTCCCAACCTCGACTTAGTTGAGATCTCACACGTTTTATTAGGGCCAATCATGTCAGCGTTCAAGCCAGTGTGAATAGCTGGAAAGCCATGAGGGGCATGCAGTGGCCACAAACCGACAGCGTTGTAGCGGCAGCTGAGATAGCGCAGGCTCAAGGGTTCGGCACTTCCGAACGCGTGCGTGTCTGACCAAAGCTCGGAATATTCGTGTCTTAGATTTCCCCCGTTACCCTAGGCGTTTGCATCTACTCGCGAAGCTGAGGCACATGCCGACTGCATGGTTTCTTTCGACCGAAAGCATCCTCGCCATTGGGAAGGGCTGCAAGGCTCGCATACTGTCCATGAGGGTCCCAGAGCAGGGTTGATGGATCATTTGGTGCAGAATCAACCAGGATACGAGGTAGGACATCTTGAATAGCAAGAATACGGGCTAATCGGCTGGATTTCTTCTTACTAGGGGTTGACTTCTTCACCTCCCCGCAAGCGTATGCAAATTCCAGACGGCGGCATGTTTTCGGCGCCAAGGCCTATGTCTTCGTCAGTGCCCAGCTCGCCTCCCGCTGTCTCTATTTGACACCCAGTTGACATGACTCCACCAGACGCGACGCAGATCGACCGTACCCCACAGAATGGGCATCTCAATCTCAACTTTGATCGAGGACGCGTATGTTATGGTATGTTACTGATAGACTTCCAGTGAGTTCTCCTACAAGTAATTCACTCGAGGCAGCTATGTGCTGAATCACGTTCCCCAAGGTTTAGTACTTTATGTTCATGGTTGCGTTGCTTTCGTTGTGCTCTCTCCTGGTAGATCTATTTCGATCATGACCTTTGCTTGTTATGTCATCTGTTTTTTCTCTGCGTCTCCGCCGGAGAAACGTGAGGATCCCGAAAGAGTGGTCATCTCGCGACTAGCAAGCGTTGATCACTACTCTGCACTTGGTAGGTGTCTAAGCTTCGGGACCGTGTTCTAAGTTTGGACAAATCTGATTCTAGGTCGGCGTTGCTCATCATCCCTTTCGAACTGAATGCTACCAATACTGTTGGGCATGGCCTTAAGGACAAGTGAGTTCAATCGTCGCACTTCTGCAAACGCATGATTGGCTCCATCACTTTCTCTTGCGGCTGATCAGGAGACTGGTCGGCGCGACAGTCACTGCACGGAGAATAGCAGCAGCTTTGGCCATTGGATAGATGTCGTTCGGGAGTTTCATACCTCCGATGATGCTTGCTCAGTGAAGTAGAACTACTTGTTGTCGTGACGTCGCGTATCTTTCCGACGATGGGGGAACCATGCATCACGTACTGCTGCGGGATGCGTTAGTCGACATCCATGGACGTTTTGTTTCCCTCATGCAGCTGCTCGACTGGGCTTCGTCTCGACGATTTTTCAATGTTCTTGTCATCATACTTCTGTTGTTCTGGTCCTGCATCTCGGTTGCGACACTGTACGTAATTACGGACACATTCAACTACGAACTGCCGACGTCCCTTCCCCTCGTCCTGCATGCATCTGAGTTCAGCTGGATAGCTGTCCGCCTCACTACGTATCACTTGGCGACATGTCGGTGTGAAACCCCAACCATTCTGCATGTCTGGTGCATGATACAGTGAGGATAATATGGTTCCTGGCTAGCTAACGGTCCTGGTCTTTATCAGTAAAGATGTGACCTGCGTACACTGGACGATCTCAGGAACGGCTCTGCTTCTTGAACGCCACTAGTTCTTATAGAGATTCGTCGATTGCACAGAGGGAATCTTCGAGCACACGCTACTCTTTTGGTACACAAACTGCTAGAGGCGGCACATTCGGGCGACTTCTGTGATCGTACATTGATACTTGCTGATCTCCCCGATCGAGGGTCAACAGGTGCAGTTGAGTGCCGGAACTGGTTTGCTGTTCACAGCCTCGGAGGATGACAAGCTCGGCCTTGCGTGGAAATAATTCCGGAGACAAGCCGGGCGAAAACTGCCTCCGGATGATTATGTAAGTCACCTATTTTTGGCAAAACCTGCCTGATCAGGTCCGACCTCTACACTCGTGTAAACGGCGTGTTTGTGGTGTGCTGCAGTGCATTTCATAGGGAGCCCCAGGACTATGACTCCTCCCGGTTCCCCCTTTGCAGATGGCTGTCCATCCTACTCTTCTCACTATGCCATGGAGATATTTTTCTGTCCGTTGCACCGCAAATTCTCGACGCTTTGAATGGCTGGGGTTCACCGCCACGATGGATCTCCCACCTTTAATCCCGTGACGCCATTTATTGTGTATGCCAGACCCGTTCATATGGAAAGCGACGCTTTGGCCAATTTACTGTGACTTTCTTCAACCCGTGTCCTACGGAGCTACGCTTTGTTCTTCGCGTGTCTGGCACGTGCAGGTGGCAAATTCATATCTGTTGTGTCTGACTTCGTACGCTTCACGACCTAATAGGTTCAAGCGCGCAGCTGCACTCCATCCGCTTTGTTACTTCTTCTTTTCCATTGTTACAGAATGGCCTCGAGACGGGATCGATTCAAGAGTGTGTCCTTTCGATTTCTCTGACGGGTAGGTAATTTCCGCTGACGCTGTCTGTCCCAAGCCAAACTCTGCAGAAATTTTGCTCTCGGTCACTGTCCTCAGGGATCCCAGTGCAAGTATCTCCACACCATGGCCCCACCTATGTTATCCCCCACTTTGCCTATTACTCAATTTATGTATCCGTCGGTGAGTGAGGTAGGCGGACGTATGTCCTCCGGTACCTGATGACCATGTACTGTCCATAGTTGAACCAAAGCGAACACAATATTCCATACCGTCTTGCCCTCCCAATGTCCCCTCCTACCGTTCAATGGATGGCGACATCACCATCCGCTCATAGCTCGGAGATGGTTCCTTATAATTGGGTTTATTCCTCTGCTCCATACAACCCTGCCCTCCAGGCTCCTCGTACTGCGGCTGTGCAATACAGGCCTTTGTCGTGGAGGACGACACTTTGCAGACACTTCGCCAAGAACAGAGGATGGTGCCCTCTCGGCGACGACTGCAATTAGTAAGTAGACGCAGCTTATTTGCGCCCTTATGTTATGTCAACGACTGACTGTTTGTTTCTTCGATAACAGTATACATGACTTGGCGTTGGCAGATATCGCTCTCGAGGACGTGAGGTTCCCCTCCCGCGACAACTCTAATGGGGCCCTCGCGAGCGGCGGTGTTGGTAGGGGGAAGGCCGGTACAAAGCACAGTCACTGTTGGGCATACGTGCAAGGACTCTGCCACGTCAAGGACTGCCCATACCTTCATCCCCTCGCTGTACATCTCTGTATGTTGTTTCGCCTATTTTGTGTCGGCTTCTTTCTGATTTATTGTCCCCTGTCAAGTTGTTCGTCACACTCCGTGCCTCGCATGGCCTAACTGTCAGAAGGGCGTGCTGTGCCCCTACAAGCACCCGGAACCGGTCATACCCAAAGTCCACGCGCTGCCTGTTGCCGTAGAGTCTCCGACTCATATGCAACCTCTCAGCCCAGTCGATTCGACCTTGCCTCCTGTGTACCAATACAATGGTACCACGTACTTCCCATACCCGCCGCAAGGTCCTGTCTCACCGTCACAGCTTGAGCCTTCTCGCGCTTGGCCTCGCACTTATGAGCCTTGGCGTCAACCCTACATCGCGCTCTCCCAGTCAAGGAATTACGGTCACACTTCGCCTGAAGTGCGCCCATGGCGAGACCGTCCCATCTACGAGGTTGGGCCTCCGCCTGCACCCGTCAGTTTTCAGCCCCGCGCGTATACGCCTCCCTTCGCTCCTCCTGTTCAAGATGTTATTCAAGCCGCCCCTAGCTCACAGTCCGCCTTAGAATATCAGCCAGCTGTCGAGTCTGCGGGCCCGCCCATTACTGCACCACATGAGTTTCCGTATGTACCGCCCAAGAATCAGCGTTCCGGACATGCTCGGCGCGTCAGTGTCGCACTGAAGAGCAAAGAAGACTCGGATGCCCTCTTCCTCGTTGACCCAGTTTCCAGTGAAAGGGAGAGCTGGAAGACTCACGGAGATCGCTTAAGCCACAGGGTAGGCATTCAAAGCAACGCCGCCATTGATTCTCCCAGCTAACTATTGTCTTCTAGAGCTGGGCCCCGTCGTCGACTACAGTGGACCCTCCACCGACCCCGCCCTCGCTGCAATTGATTTACTAGGATATACGGATGTTGTAATTTTTCGTCTTTCACCCCATGTTGTTTTTCTCCAATTACTGGATACAGACTCTGCAAGTTACGAACTGGCCTACCCAGGACGCCCTCTCACGACACCATCTGGCATTTTCTCTCTCTGCTCCATATCCACCAGCATACATACCTATCCCACTACGCATATACGATCGTACAGTATGGCGCCTTGCATCCTGGAGCGTTCGTTCCCCGAGCACTGGCGCTGTTGTATTCCTTAGTGTTGTCTGTGTGTACTAGTCCGTACTAATGATATCATACCCGTCTCTACGCTTACGATAGATAATCCGATTCACTTTGCTCCGATACTCCAGACGCAGGTCAAAGGGTTGGAGTCCGAGTCAACGAGGCGTGACCATGTCGCACGCTTAAGCTCAGCACCGGGATTGAGCCAGCCCGCACACGTTCCACCACGGCACAGCACTCGCCCGGAATTTGGGGGAACACGGCCGGTCGTGGTGCACTGAATACGTACGTGGACGAGACCACAGGACCGGCCACCCCCGTTGGCACTGGTACTGGTGAGGAAACGAGGCCGGTTGGGGCGCGCACGGTACTGCCGCAGCAGCCTCAAGACGTCCGCAAGGACTTGAGGTCTCCACACGCATGCCCGGAAAGCGCAGGCAGACTGTAAGCAGACGCAGACTCGGCGGTGCCGGTGCGGACAGGTCCTGATCGCCCGCACTGCATGGCGTCTGTCTGACTTAGATACTGACTCCGTCGCAGCGGGTCGTCTCTTGCGTGTGCAGCGAAGGAATATTAATATTACATAGTGCGATGCAGGCGCATTTGGGCTGTTCGAGCACCCTTAGAAGATTAGTGCTGCCTTGAAAGTGTTGGGGACGAACTGGAGATGAACGCTAAGAGGCCACATCACACCGGGATGAACTCCGGAGACAACTGATTCCAACCGATGTGAGAGCGCTGTGCAGAGTTGGAGCACAGATTAATACACAGATGACTATACAGCTAACAGGGAGATACACGCGACGCACGCAATGCCACAGGGTTATTAGTACTATATAGATCCAGGCCCATCCAATGGTATATACACAAATACAGCGCAAGACACGCGGGACAAATGCGATAGTGCACTAAGCACACACGTTAATAGCGACGATAGCGTGAGGACCGAGACGGAGATGAGTGGGGGAATGAGTCCAATCCGACAGCAATGCGAGAAAATTCAGCATGGATGACGCCGGCACGATGACAGCGACGACAACGATGATAGGGACAATGACGAGAGACACAAGACACGAACGGATGGCTATTTCAACCGAGTGCGTGACTGAGGGTGCTGGAAGCGAGCTGCGCTTGCTCATTCAATTCAAATTCCCCCGGAGCCTGAGTGAGCGTCACGGGAGAGCTTGGGCCTGCCATACTCGGCATGAGTATGGACGAAGACGGCTGTGGTGCATTTGTGGGAGCGCACGGAGTGCAGCCGCTGAGGAGACATTGCAGAAAACTGCTGTGCCATGCACAGCCTGTCTGGTTCTGCGCCGTGGCCGCAACGTCGGGAGACACAGACGGAGGGAAAGCTGGTGTTGCTGTGGGCGCGGAAGTGATGCTGGTAACGATCGCGGGTGGTTGGGGAGGGAGCCATGTGCGCTCAGGGAGGGCCGGTGCGTACGTGAAGTCACTGGACGCCGACGGTTCCGAGAAATCGGAAAACTGGGGATTCGTGTCCATCTCGACTTCTTGTGAACGATACTCGCCCATACCATCGTCGCTGAACTGCACGTCGGGTATCGGTGACGCCTTAGGCGACGTCAGTGACACGGGAAAGAAAAGGACTGGTGTCCACGAGCCCGGCTGGAGGCTGCCCCAGTCCGCACGACGCTGCTTGTCAACGGGTGTCCCGCGGCCCACGAATGGCTTGCCCTCCGGAGTCACAGGCATGCAAGGCTCAAGATTCGGCACGCGGACCGTAGCTAGCGGTGGGAGCTGCGGTGGCTCCGGGACGTACGGCTGGACGGACGAGCGGTCGGCCGGAAGCGCCGGCGCCGAAGGCGATGCCGGTCGTGTAGGCGGCGATGACACCGAAGGCGCTGTCGTGGGCGTCGTTGTCAAGGCTTCTAATGCACGTGATCCATCAACGTGCTGCTCGTCCACGTCCATGGCTTCGACCTCCGTCGTGGAATCTGCGCTCATGTCCATGCCGAGCACCTCATCATACTCGTAGTCGTCGTCCTCTTCCTCGTCTAAGTCCCATTCCTCGTCGTCGTCGTCGTCGTCGTAATCGCCGTACTCAAAGTCGTGAAGTTCTTCCGCCTCCCAGTCGATGTCCATGTCATCCGCTTGTAGATAGCGGAGCGCCGAGCGCGACGAGCTGGAGTAGCTCGCCGGTGTGTAATGGCAGAACTTGGCCTGAGCTAGTACATGGTGCCGAGCCTGCGCTTCGACCACCGCTCGGAGTGCCGCTCCGCCATACCTACGCAACCTGCAACACAAATCAGCGGTGAGATATTTGTATGGATTCAGAGCGCGGCACGTACAAGTACCGTACCCGCTCCTGGCACGCCAATTTCCAGATGTTCGGGTCGCATGCCTCCGGTGTGCGCACTCGGTTACGCCGACGAGGATCCGGTGATAATGGTGACGACGGTGATAACGGTGACGGTGATAATGGTGACGATGGAGATGGGGAAGATGGTGTGGGAAGCTGCAGAATGTCTATATCTTGCGCGACAACTGGTGGGGGTATAAGGGCAGGGAGCTCCAGAAGAGTAGGCGGTACGATAGGGGAGGAAAGCGGTGGTGACTGGTAACCGGCAGTCTCGGATAGAGAGATGGAGACGACCTTCGTCTCGCTGCAAGTTGGATCGATTCGCGATGTCGGTGTGATCGGTTCTTTAAGATCAACGGGGGACTCTACAGAAGTCGCGTTACTGACAGCTGTCACGCCTTTCAAAGGGCCTGCGGATTCTCTGGAAGAGAACGCTTCAGTACGAACAATAATGATCCAGCTTCTGGAGACTCACTCGGCAGGCGACGCCAATGACAGCGCTAGCGATGATCCTTTGCCACTCGCGACCTGCAGATGATCACGTCAATCGTGGCAAAATTGGGCGACGATTCTGGCACTTGCCTCGTCCAAAGTTAGCGCAGCATCTTGCCTAAATTGATACGTGCTCGGGTCAGGCGCATCTTCTGAATCGAACAGATTGAGAGAATTGTTATCGTTGCGGCTACTGTGGCCACCAGGCAGTTCGTTATGATGATCGATGGAGATCGTGAATGAACTGGGGGCAGAGCTCTCGCCTGTCAATCGCTGACGCTTGAGTGCTCTGAGCGCCCTGGGCGTGCGGTATTCATCGTCCTCGAGATCTGGCGAAGCGGACGGTGCGGTAATAGGGGAACGATCCGGGAGATCGCATCCGCGGCGACGCTTTTTGGAGGTAGTTGTGGCGTCAGATCTTGGATTCGCCTTTGTGGGTTGCAGCTTCGAACTCAGCCTCGAGGAACTGGGCTCGGGTGTTTGGTGATTGTTTGGACCGGATGTGGCCCTGACAGCCTTGAGAAGCGTGGGGGTGGTGGGACTGCGGTTGGGAGAACTGCTGGAGCTTCCGGGAGTGGCGCGAGCGGTTCGAGGCCGGAGGCTTCTGCTTCTGCTGCTGGTTTGAGATAGGGACTCGGGGGTGGGACCATGGGCTGTGGCACATGGCCGCGCCCCTGAACGGCGTAGTACGCGGATACGGCTGGAGCGCCTCAGGTTGACTTCATTGGATTCTGCCTGTGTGTGGCGGGTGGCGACGGGAGTAGAAAGCTTTACAGCCATGGCCATGGCGGCTGGGAAGGGCAACAATGGTAATAGCCGGCTGTAGGACGGACGACATGATGCATTGCAAACGGTCAGCGAGGCGCAGCGAAGTACACGACGATTCAATGAATTACATTGTGATTCCGTCCGGCGTTCTACTTCAACCAGATTTCTATACCTTTCTCGATTCAGACGTGGACCGACTTGGGTCGGAAGCGGGCGGGGGAAATATAGATATCGATGATGGTGGATCGAGCTTCCGAGACGGGGGAAACGCTTGCAAAAATTGCCTGACACACACGTAAGCGCTGACTAAGCTCTTACTAAGCTCTTCCCCTGCCGCACAGCCACGTGACGGATCTCTCCGTCCCACACTTTTGAGTTCCCCCAGTTTCTTCTCCTCGCATGGTGTCCGTTAGGATCAAAGGAACACGAATTCGTGAGTATCATCGCACACCTCCTGACCACCTGCAGAACAGAAACAGACGCTGCGGCCCTGCCGTAGTTTTGACTTACGTCAAACAGTCCTTAGATCTCGCATGTCTGCATTTAGAAAGCTCAACGTGAAACCGAGTCGCCCATAGCTCCGATCTCGAGGTCCATTTCTCAAGCAAACAATTCTTTCAACATGAAATCTGGTGTGTTTAAAGGGCCACACCAGATTTTATGTTGGAAGGCGTCCGAACCAGCAGCACAGCTTTGAGTTCTTGACGGTTCTGTCCGGCTATACGCCTCGGACCGACCGCAGAGCTTGCAGGCCTTGTGTAACCGCCTAAGTCGGTTTAGGGGGACATACCAGATCGGGGCCATCCTGTGGCCTGGCTTATATAGCAGCTCCCAGTACCGCTGAGTTGGGTCTCCTAGCGTTTGCATCTATCTGCTGATCTGACTATCGCTGACAGTCGCACAGATGCCTCCTGTATCATTCGAATGAACTTTGTCCGCTGAGAATTACGGTACGTCCATATCAGATGCAAAGTTACTGACCTGTGACCGCAGGATCTCTGCGGAAAGTCGATGGTGATGTTCACCGGTTCGTGAAGGATCGGCCGGTTCTTGCAATTGCAAAAAAGGGCCGCAAGCGACTCGGCTTCATCGATATCCGCACCGTCAGCTTTTTTGCCGTCAGCGTCCAGTTTTCCACACGAATCTCGCCGAACGCGACTCGAAGGAGGATTATCGTCGAACCTACACCTTGCTGTGCATCTTACTCGAGGTATCAGAGCGGTCCTTTGCAGGGTCTACTGAATGTAATTCTGCAGATAGCGCTAATGGATGGCCGAGATCACGTTCCATACCTCTTCGCCCATCTAACAAGCCCAAACCACGAGGCTGCCAGCAGGCTCGCATCTTTTTCTACGTACTGATGTTTGCTTCTACAGGCGTCTCTGAAGTGGTTCGTACTGCGCCCATCATGTACAAATTTCATCTTGGACGTGAAATAGTCTTGGTTTGGCGCTCCAATACGGATAACGCCTGCGGTGTGCACGACACTTGTTTGTATTTTTCGTGGCTTAGATATCCACGACCTGCCCCTCACCATGGACTCCACTTCTGGATATCGCTGTAGTCTGAACAAGCTCGCTGTCTCCCAATGTCCACCGCTGGCACGTGGTCTGGACCATTGTTCTTTGCTGATGGTCTCGCTAGGATGCTTGCTCCTTACTTGGCTCCATACTGTTCTCGTAGCGAATTTTATCGCGGCGTTGAAGGTGAATACTACCAGCGAATTTCTGGACGAAGCAGAGCCTGTCATGGTTAATGCAACCTCGAATTCGGAGACCGACTTGTCCCCGCAGTTGTCGCATTCCGACCGACCGGATCTCTTTGTTCGATCAAGTGAATGTTCACATGTCTGCGTCTCAAGCTGTCGCTAAGTTTTGTTCCGATCCACAAGCACCATCATCCCACCCACTTCGTATTGTAGTGCCGGATCGCAGCGACAGGTCTAATGAAGAATATGTAAGGGGAAAGTTGCTCAAATACGTTCAGCAAGACATTTCCGTCGTGGATTTCGTGCGCGCGGATTGGAAGTTCACGCCCGATATGATCCCGGAACCTCAAACGCCGTACACTCTTCCTCAGGCATCGTGCAAAGATTACTGCTAATGTTATAGCGAGAGGGCTTACTTTGCTGGGTTCGAGACGATACTACAGTCTCTACTGAAGCCGCTGTTCTCTGCTCCAACTGGTGAGACTCTCACCGCAGGAGAAAATTCCGGGAAATCAGCGCGTCCACTTCCTGCTATATTCTTAAATTTGACGGATAACATCGTGCAGGACGGATTCAAGGGCGTAAGACGCAGTCTCGCCTGGTGCACTTTCGCGAACGAGAAACGGCGAGACTGGCGTTTCGTTTTGGCTTGTGCAGACGTGAAAAGACCTCGAGCATTGGCATCCACGCACGAAACCGACGTCAGCGCAGATTTGGCGAAGTTGATACCGACGCAGGTTCGTCTTGTTGTGGCCCCGCTCATGGACCTCTTTTGACAAAGGCCAGATTGTACCCACCGAGGGAGTCTCAGAAGAGAACAGTCGCAAAAGGTAGCAACCGCAAGATGCTCCAGACCACGAGGTTGAATGATCACTCAAACGCCTTTCTGTCAACGCACCGCCAGGGGCAACTGCACCACAGGCCGGTGATACCAGCGCACATAACGAAGAAGTGAAGATCGTTAATTATCTCCTGGATATGATGTCTCACAGGTTGCGTTCGAACGCGTCGGGGTTCTCCGTCGACGGTCTCGATGTCAGCTCGTGATATGCTGACCGCATGGGGCTCGTCAAATCTCTGTCTTTCAACTTCGTAGAAGAGCCTCACTTTCTTGTGCTCCTCGTGGCCGCAATCGGCTCTGCCGTTCTGCATACTCTGGGCATCTTCCCTCTACTCTGGTCTCCGTACAGACACTACAACAGATACACCGGGATGCACTTTTTCATGCCTGCTGAGATGTTCTGCAACGTCGGAGGCACTATTGAACGTGCATCGGAGCTCGTGTTTGGGTTCGATGTCACCCGGCGCATATCCAGCGACTTCGGCATTGTCGGGAGGGGAACTACCGTAATCCCCCTCTTAGCCACGGGGGTCTGAGGCGCTCGTTGCCAAGATATCATGGCCGGAGATCACGCGCGAGCAAGAGAGCGCGCACGTCGAGAGGGTGCGCAGGGTGCTTCGGAAGAAGAAGCCAGAATACCTGAGGCACATCGTCGAGTTGAAGTGCTGGCTCAGACGCACCATAAAGGGCATGGACCAGCTGAGGATGCATATGTCTGGCTTTCCTGTGTCGCCGCTGTTCAAGGAGCGGGAATGTCGGGTGCTGATCATGAAAGCGTACCAGCGCCTGCAATCTGTCGATAGCGTCGAGGAGTTCAAACAAGTGATTGTGCATGTGGTTCGTGGTAAGTCCACTTCTCTACCGTTACCAATTATTGGCTAATTATGCAATAGCTCACCACTAGGTCTAGGAGACGTCAAGAGTTCTCCACCACGACATCAGCATTGAGATCATCATGCTGTATCGTAAGAATGGCGAAGTTGTCGGGGTCACCTGCGACTGGGATCTGGACGACGAAGACATTGAATCGTATTTGGACATGCCAATGTTTCCGTCTTCGGCGTCTAGCGGTAACACTGGAGATCCCTCAGATTCTCAAAAGGAGAATAGTATGACAAGTTGTGCTGAAACTGAGGCAAAGCCGGAAGGCGCGGCCATTCCAAGCGTCGATACTACGAAATGGAGAGAACGCGTGGGCACGCGCCCGTTCATGGCTCTCGATGTTCTGTTCCTGGTGACGAAAGTACCTCTGCGCCGTTATTGCCACGATCTCGGGTCGTTCTTCTTTGTCATCGCCTGGTTTTGTGCGCTCTTGGATCCCGAGACACACAACTGTCACACTCTTGAAGAGTAGGACGACCGAGACCTGGCAAAACTCGAACAAAAAAGCGAAGTTTTCTGCTGGACATTGACGACTACGACGCCGTTTTCGCCAAGGCTGATCCTCAGTAGCGAAAGCTCGCAGATAACTGGGTCCTTAACCTTCGCCGCTACTTCGAGATGTGGTCTGATCTTCTTGAGCTGCATGTACGCTTCAGCGAGGAACTCGGGCGTCACCAATGAGATGACCAGATGGCGGGAGCAAATCGCTAGCAAAGTCAAGAGGAGGAACGCTGCAATTACATATGTTGGCTTCATGAAATGCCTCGGGGTCCAAGAATAACTGCGTGTTGAGCGCAAGCCTGGAGTTCAAGTGTGCATTCAAATTACGGAAGAGGAAACTGAATGTAAGTCACTCTCGGAATGCAATGTGTTCGGACCCGAGTAATAACATCTACATAGTTTGTGCTCGCCACACACGTGTAACGTACTCGGGCCAGACAAGTCTCTATATCCATTTTTATGGTGGTATAGTGCCTTAAAATTCCGAAACAGGTCTTAATCTAGGCAACGAGTTATTAAACACGACTTTCTCACTTTTTTTCAGCGTGGAGCGCGACAAGTTTGATAACCTACAAAGCCTCTTCCGTGTCCAAAACTCAAACAAAACGCCACCAACAGATAGTCCATCGCGTTATTGGATTCAATACAAGAGCACCGCGGAGAATTGTGGAAAATAGTTCTCTGTTGTCGCTTTCTCGGAACGTGCTTCGATATACTGTACTTATGTTCAATGTGCATGAACTTACGGATCGTAGGTACATGAATGTCTGTGCGTCACCTTGGAGGTTTTTTGCACACCCTCATTCTCCGTCGAATACCTCTTAAATTCCGTCTAGATCGCACCGACACCTCGAAAACTTGGATACCGGTGATATTAGTAGAGTAACACATAATGCAGTGAATTGTTCGTGCAAAGTGCTTGCTTTGATCCTACTGCCAACATCCTCGACGTGCTCTGGTTGCCATTTTCTGTCTCCCTCAAGGCGCCGCTCATGAAGCTCAAGGGCGATCGGCAGAGTAAAACCAGGAGGTTACAGTACCTGTGACGTGTCATGAGCCTCCATAGCACGTACAGTTGGTAACCACCACTGTTATGCAACGTCTGCCCGCTGTACATATTCCGGGAGTATCGATTTGTGGATGCCGTTCCATTGTCGTGCTTAGCCAGGTGAGCATTTAATTTACGGGAGGAATATTACCGAGCGCAGAGAGGTTTCTCCACCTCCGAAAGTGCGCAGCAGTATGCAAGACCCTCCCTACCTCTGAGAGTAATGATTGGTTACTTATTGTTTGAGTGTGTTGACTTTGATGTCGCGCGGTAGCGCGCTCAAGGATTACTTGGATGCAAGATTTATTGTCCACGACCCTATAGTAGATACTACTCTAACGTGTAGGTGCGTGGTTGCTTACACGGTGCCTCTAGGACTTAGCTCTTCCTCCCAGATCTGTCCTGTCTGGCCGCTGGAATAGAGGCAGGTGAATATCGGCTTTCGAGAATCCGCCGAGTATATTGGACTTCATGCCATGCATACTAGATTTCAACACTTCTGAATATGATCCAGTGAGCCGTCTCGCAGTCTCATGCTGTGAAGCTCGCCATGCTTGATGGAACGCGTATGTTCCCTGCACCATTCGATCCATGCTGAAGATATGCACCTTTGCCCTAGGATGTGTAATTGCCGTTTGCGGCGCTTGAGGATTACGAGCCAGACGTGTCTTATATTCCTGGCTGAGTATGTCACGGCGTCGTCTCCGTCTCGCATTTACGAGATAGTGACGCTCGCGTTGGAACCCCTTGTTCTACTGAATATCTTGAAGGGAGTAGCATTCATGCACTGCCGCGCTTCGCTGCCTAGTTTATTCGGCGGTCAGATATCATCCTGAGAGACATCGGTCATGCAGCATCTCATCTTAGTCGCGAATGTCCTGGGGCCTAAGTCGAATCCAAGTTCCCTGCGCTGCTTCAACGCTTGTGTAGGTGAGCATTTTCGGGGTATCAAAGCCGCCACTGACTCTGCTGCGCAGACCCCGGTCCGTCCATGCGGGATGTTTGTTGCCACACATTCATGTCATGTTTTCGCACAGGACGAGTCGCTAGCCCGGAAGCTAATACTCTTCGGCTTACTTCAAAGGCTGCACGGTTCATTACGTGGCCCACGTACCAGGTTCGACCTTACGTGCACTCCCCCACAGATCCGCGCTAAGTTTATCAGGCTTCCTCCTGCAGGCTTTCAAGCTTCAAGAATGCTGCGGAGCCGGGGTTTCGAAAGTCCTTCAAGTACGTTGAAGCTCATTTGCGTTCGAGGATTCGACACGTCTGGATATAAACGGCGTTCCCGTGGCTCCCTGTCACGTCGCAGCTTCAGGCGACGGAGCCCGCCGTGCTCGGTGCGACGTGCCAGCACGCGTACACCCTTTGTGCGGTCATGCTGAAGACGTTGTCTCCCTCCGCAGCTGCCGCGGACACTACAAGGCACTGGTCGGCGATGAACTCGCGTTGCAATCTCCTTAGTGTACATGACATTATCGGATGTTGATGGCGATTGCCTCGCGTTCGCGAGGTGGCGGCGCTCGACCTCTGTCGATTCGAAGGAGTTATAATGACACCTTTGATGGTGGACGGTAAGTGTCGCTCAAGCAGTATACCTCAACTCCAAAACTGAAAGCCCAACGGAATCAGATAGTCCTTTGGGAAGTCTGTCGCATATATATATAGCATCTCCTCATCCCGTAGAAGCCGCGACATTGCGAGTCTACGAATGAGTCGCTATTCTCGGAACATCTGAATGTTCACGATGCGCAGCTCCTTGGATAAGTACGAGCTTGTTGGACCTTCGGGCCTCAGGCGCAAGTATCCGTGGAGCTAGAAGAAACAGCTCAGCACTTCGTTTCGAGAACCTGCCGCGAATGTGTCCGAGTAGAAGGTTCGCGATCCTGATATTTGCTACACTCGGGTGTGGCCTTGTCCGGGCACCTACCCTTCGCATCGAGCACCGCTGTTCATGAATGCCAGTGAGTACCGCGCCAGCTCAGCGCCTTACTTCGAGAAGCCCTGAATGTCCAAGTGGAAGGTTCGTGCCCCAAATAGACTCGGATGTGGCGTCGTTCTTCGAGCATCGACCAGTGCTTGCTCAAGCGTTGATATATAACGTTGATATCCCGTGTCTTCGCACAGAGCGAGCGCGCTAGCTCCGAACAATAAACGTTAGCCGATCAGTGGGGCGATCAGGAGAAGACGGTGGATTCATGGAATCTAGTACACAACCGCCAACGTTGAAACTTTCTGCAACATGAAACACGGCACGACCGAGTACATCGCACGACCGTCCAAACTTCGCGTGCATTCAGTAGTCCAACTACGGTGGCGTAGTTGAGTAGTATGGCTGTGCATGGTGTTGAACGCGAGAGGCGATACGGACAGCGAGTAACCCCTGACGGCCCCGAATTGGGCACGGCGATGTCGAGGAATGTGCGTGGGGGCGGAAGCAAACGTTGTTTCGAGGAGCGTATTCAAATTCAGCGGCGAATCAGCGGCAGGTTCTCCAGGCACACACCGTGCTCGTCGAGTCTGGATCGCGGAAACAGACCAAGCGGATATCCTGTCAGAGAAAGGAGTGTCAAGGATGAGAGGAGGTGGAGAGGAGCAGACCCAGATGCAGCGTAGCATCCGCGTCGAGCGACCTGGGCGCCAAGGCGGAGGGCGTCGAGCGGAACATGATATGCAGGGAAGAGGCTTCCACTTGATCTCGCCGGGGCGCTAGGCGGCCTTGGCTGATCTAACGTGCAGGCTCCTTATATACAGCAACCTGTCGTCTCTCTCACTCTCACTGAGCTCCCGCCACCTCGCGCGATCCCAGTGAGTGCTCATCCCTGCGCGTGCCCGACAAGGATTCACATCTTTTGCTGCAGTATCCGTCCTATCGCCGCACCCACATCATCCGACGCGTCCATGTTCAAGTCCGAGGAGGATTGCTACGTTCTCATCGAGGATGACGAGAATGCTTCTCTAGAGGAGAAGGGCTGCGCTAGTCCCACCACATCCACACTACCACCAAAATCGCGCCTCTGTGTCGCGGCGTGGATCTCGCGGCTCTACCAGGTGCGGAAAGAGCGGGCGCGCACGCGCTCGCGGGGACCACCACGCGCCAAGCCAGCGCCTGCTTCCACTCCAACGGAGGATTTCTCGACGTCGATGTCGCTGCTGCCCGAGCGGCGACAGGAGCAGCTGAGATGGCTGTCGTATTCTGAGTCTATTCCATGGGGGTACTGTGTCTGTCTATGAAGAAGGTAGAAGGGAGGAGATGTCTCCCGCCGCTGCTGTTACGCGGGTCCGACGGTCCACATAGCCTTTGCTTTTTTGTACACCTGGGTCCGTCGCTTTTGTTTATAGTAAGGAGGTCGTGCTGCTCGTTTGTAAATCTAGTTTGTATTATCAGGGGAGTTTGTTACGTTATCGCGAAGTGCGACCCATCAAGAGTTTCAAGCGCACAGAGGGCTGGTCCCTGCACCGGGTGACCATAGAGGGGATTGACAGCGAGAGTTCAAACGAAGACCAAGCAGGAATCTTTTGCCTCATCGGCACAACCAAACTGGACAGACGGAAGTAAAACATACTATAACAGGTAAGAGTCTGGATCGGTCGAGAGGGTAGGTCACGTGTAAGGGACGGACAGTAGAAGCGGAAATCGAGGAAGACGCGGGACTCGTCCTGTACGGAGTTGTTTGAGAGGTGTACTGACGTCGCCGAGTAATTTCAAGCTGAATGAGTGAGGTAGGTGGAGGGCAGAAGGAGGTAGGTCACCCACTATTGGAGAATTTGCGCGCAGGATGTGTTTGTATACTAGGCAGACACGACGCACAACCGACTCACATTTCAAAGTTTCAATCCCAGTTTTTCGTGTGCATCCCATTTCACAGATCGAAACCTCAAGGCCTCAAGGCTCACATTTATACTGCTCGAACGGTCCCGCCAGCTCTTTATCTCTTCGCGCACATTCAAGTTTTCCTGCCCGTCGCCAGGCAGTCAGACGTTAAACGATGCAGGAACTGCGGGACGTACATATTCCGGCACATCAACATTGTAATTTACCAAGTCGTTCAGACAATCTTGACGGGAAGAGAGGAGAGCTAGCGGCAGGTGAGGCGAGCGGTTGGTCGAGTCTACATCTTTCAGTGCATGAAGAGACTACGACAGCACAGCTGCAGTGCATGATGGAAATGTAATGGTCGATATGACATGGCAGCAAATGGACATGTTAGGTATGCACCTCATTAACAAAGGCTGCCAAATTATCCATGCAGCAGACCTAAGCCCAAAAGTCGATAAACCGGACAAAGTGTAGCCAATTCAAGTTATCGAAAGAGCGTGCATATATCGGCAAATGCTAATGGACGGGCACAAAGGTAGGACGAAGATGTGTCACAGGAAAGCATGGGGTTGATACAATCCACAAGCTGCACCTTGTGGAACCGGGAACAAATGACATATATGGCGCCAAGAAACTTCATCCAGAAGGGACTCGCAGGCACCAACTTCAGACATCCAGAGACAAGCATAGCGCAAGTCAATGGTCCCAAATGCAGCTAACACCAAGCTCGTGTTACAGAGACTGGGTGCAATGAGCACAGTACAAGCTGGAAACAAGAATCAATCGCCTTCCGAGAACTCCAATGTCCAAAGACCCTTTCTATCTCGGCCCTCGGACTCTGATATCTCGCGAACAGCAGCTCTAAAAATCAGGCTTCAAGGCTCAGTGCGCACCACGGCCCATACGTGATGCACGGATAACACAGCTGAGAACCACGGAGAAGGCCTGTCTAGTCTGAGCTTGAGCTTGAGCTTGGAGCGATGGAATAACAAGAGGAGACCTCGAGAAACAAAAGTCCCAGCCCAGAGAGGAATAAACAGTACAGTCTGAAATGTAATCTATGCATCCAGGGCCTTCAATCTCATCAGCATATCCTCGTGGCGCCAAGCGAACTCGAGGACGATGGCATGAAGGGAGTGCTTGTATTCTGCCCGAATCATCGCGAGAGCGATGATATCGTCCACTGCAGATGCACCTCCCTCGGCGATACCTTCTACCACAGATGCATGCTCGGCAATGATGCGCATCGTGGCGAGGTTGGGACAAAGAAGCTGCGAGTTGCATGGCGTGGCGAGCACATGAAGCACGCTGGGTTTTCCCTTCTTGCATGGGTAATCGAGGTGCACCACCAGCGATGTCAGCGAGACCAGGGGAGAGAGCAATGTCTCAAAACCGGTGCCTTCGCGTACGTCCTCGGAGCCTCGGATGTGGAGCTCCCGCACATGTGCCAGCGGCCAGTCACGCAATAAGAAAGGCCTCTCGTGCGAGTATGGACGTTCGACCCGGATTCCCGACACGTCATTGAAGGCGGTCGCGATCAGATTCCACTCGTATTGGTACCCCATGCGTACGTCGAGGGTGTGCAAGCCCTTGAAGGACGTCCCATAAGTGGAAGAGAAGTCAGACTGGAGAGGGAAGGAATGCTGGTCGAGGATGCGCACAGCCACCCCCTCGGACCTATGAGCATGTGTCATGAGCCACGAAGCCAGGGCCATCCCTGCTTCCTGCGAATCGATTGTCATCCTCCGTAGATATGCCAGTGATGGCACATGGAGAGTTGCGTTCCTGGATTGCATACCCACAGCAAATTCATCAATCATAAGCTCCTCCAGTCTGGGGCACCCCGAGAGGAAAGCAGTCACGTCCAACAGGGTGATCGGGGTTTCAGGTGACGAATACAATGACCTTATAGACAACTGAGTGAGAACTTCGAATCGGTTACTTGGAAGAAATCCCACTGTGTCCAGTAGTAGTGATGTTAAGCGAGGAGTATCTCCGTGGAATAGCAAAGGCCGTGTGTCATCCTTGGGACTCTCCACTTCGAGGAGGGACAGTCTTTCGAGATTAGGTGTGGGGAAGCAGAAACATCTCGCTCGGGGATACTCAGAGATGTCGAGCAAATATACATGGAGTTCCTGGATGCGTCTAATTGTAGTGTCCGAAATGAACATGTCATAAAACGTCTTGGCGGCGTCATAATCGATTTGCACCTTGAGCAATGCGTTCCTGGAGCGCTGCAGCGCAGTGGTATATGGCACATGATTGAATTTGCTGAAAGTGGTCCAAAGAGACGGTGTACCGATAGCAATGTCATGCCATAGGTGACAGACGAGGGTAATATTCACGAGCTCGGTCGTCGACAACATTGAAGATTCAGAAACCGGCCAGATTTCATACTCTTCCTCCAGCGGATCCAGTGCAAAGTGGAATATGAGACCAAGAATTTCGATTGGAAACTGATTGATTCGGCAAACCGCATTCATGCTGTATCGAAGGCGGCGTAAAGTTTTGACCAGGACATCTTCCATGAGCGGCAGCTGAAACAGTAAATCCAAGGAGGTATATAAGAAGAGTCATACAGAACGCGATCAGTTTGTACGCACGTTATCAGCACTGTACAGAACGTATATAAGAAAGAGCTAACCCCAATGTTAATGTTTAGCCCACGTACCTCACTCGGTGAGCCCCTTCAGATATTTGGGACAGCAAATTCTGAGAAAGCTGCAGAAGAGAAGGATCCTCCATGTATCTCGCGTTCCAGCACTACTACGCCAAGGCAAAGGAACTCTGCAATAGAAGTTTTAGGAGTCTTGAATGTCACAGTTAAAGAAAAGGGGGCCGCGAGAAGCGCTAAAACAGACACGTGATCGGACGACCACTTCAGCGCTAAGCAAACTTGTCGGCCCCTATTGCCCTCCAAGTCGGAACATCGGGGAATTTGCATTCATCTGGTTTGGACTTCATCCCGCCAGGCGTGAAAGGTGCACCAGGCTGGTAGACATCCTGATAAGGGGTTGGTCAGCCCCTACGCCAATTTTCCAGGGCTCCAAGTCTTGTTGAGAATGACAGACCACCGTGAAGATTTTGGACCTTGTAAGGATTCCTAAGTCTTGCTGTGCCTCACCAGATGTGCCGGTTAATATAAGCACATCCACCAATGGTTCAGAGCCCACATTCTCGCTGCAGTGCACCAGGCTGACCATGGCTTGCTCAGTAATATATGGGGCCACGCATCATCAGAGATTCGAGTACGGTATGTCAACGATATATTAGTGATTATCCTAGGTATAAGGTCCGTCGAATCTGTAATTATTGCAGATCGCTGGACAAAGCAATATATAGGACAGTATGCTTGGTAGATTTCATCGGCACTACCGCAGTGCGGAACTCTTGCAAGATATGGCCACTGTACTCGGATGTCACGGCATTGTATCAACCACTATAACCGATAATCAGACGAGCAGCATGCACCAGCACTGTAGCTGATGGTGAACCACAATATGTAAGATTCAGCTGAAGCAGTCCTGGCATGTCTATCGGAGTTGTGGTGCTCATCATTGCGGCATTCATGCTGCTGATATACAAATTTTGCCCGTGTTATGCAGGTAGGGCTTTCCTTTAGTGATCAAACAACGCAGAAGTGATGTCAGGCTTGCCGTCCATATGAGAAGAATCGGAAACGAGCCAAATTATCAGTGGCATCCTGAAAGAGAAAAGCTCTCGATCGGCATCCTTCTGTCGACCACTACATACGACGAGCAAAATTATGATTCACTCTGAGTGAATGTATGAATGTTGCAGGCTGCTCAGGTTCCTCAATGCGAGGATGTTCGATAATCGGAAGCACAAATAGGATAGGCCATCAGCACTTACAACGTTCTGCTAGAAGGCCTTAGCAGCCAGGGCAAACTTACGAACTTAGGAGAGAGTTGGAGGTCACTCTACTAATGGTGAAATTCAGTGCTAACCTCCAACTCTTGTTTATTTGGCTAAAACGAGCACTGGACTCTTTTTGGAGAACCTTGCCAATGATTGTCATACCAGAAGGAAGGGTCTCGAACTTACAACAGTGCCGCAGGATAGAATTCTGACAGGATCATACAGCTGATTGATGAGAACGACAGTCGGACCAGCGAATACGTTACAGAGCATCGTTAGAGAACGAACCGGAGCATCTAGGACTGCTCAACACACGCAGCGTCACATCGACCGCCGTTGCCTCTCTCACCGGCTGCTGCCGCTGGCAATTGCAGTGGCCTTCAGTGCCGCTCGCCTCTCTCTGATCTTAGCCAAAGCACTATTCTTCGACACTGGCCTCCGCGCAGTCGAGGAGTTCGGAAACACCTGACTACAGTTAACATCAGGGACAGACCGTCAAAGGGATAGGTCTACATCTGCAGATCATGCCCAACTCACCGGTTCCACCACAACAGAAGTTCGTTGACTTCTTCTTGCTCATCAACATCTTCAAACAAATCAAGAATCGAATTGTAAAAACGCTCGGAGTCGGTGGCTGTGTCTGTCCTGGAAAATACGGGAGATGAAGACAAAGCGAATCGAACCTGTCGCGAAAACAGTGAGAAACACGTCCGAACAAGAGGTGCTCATACCTGAGTGGCAACATAACCAACGGAGGCTGGGGTAACTTTAGTCATTCCATGTATACGCGCATTACCAGCTCGAGTAGCTTTCGGTTCTCTCTCGACAGAACTAGGTGACGTGAAGATATGTTTGTACGCCTAATGCGTGTTAGTGTTCGACTCTATCTGGACGTGGTATGATATAACTTACCGAAACGAGAAGGCCGCTACGAAAAAGACCATTCCACGGGTCTTCCGCATCGTATATCGAGTTACGGTACAAGAAAATGGGCCATTGGTCACCGGAGATCACCGTTTCCCCATCTCGCAACAGCTGCTTAGTCCTACAATTGTTCGTGAGTGAAATATGAATCCACATCAGAGGAAGAACTAACTCGTCGTTGGACCAGTCCATACCGGCTGGACATAACAAAGATCCAGTACGCTCGTGGTGGAATCCACGATCCACTTTCACATTACGTGAGAGCGGTGGATAAAGAGACTGACCCTTCGGAGTGATCCAATCCAGGATGGCGCCCTTCAGGCTTTTCGTGTCGTCGGACCTCGCACTAGCAGCACCTTTCTGTATCTGAGACCTATGAATATCCAAGCCCATCCAAAGAGATCCTGTTACGAACCAGACTTGCAACTACTGCCACTTCTTCTTCAGAGCCATTCATTAGGCGTTCTTCGAGACCTGGAATCATTTGAAGGAGCGTGACAAAAATTTTGTGCTCTCTTCTTTCTCTAGAGCTCTCATCGGCATCGAAGGAGGTTGAAACTGAGAAGTAATGTGACGAACTCGTTGGTGAACATATCCTCAGGTTGCTCTGCAAGTTCACTCATACGAAGAAGACCGTTAGTGATAAGTGCTTGCACATTTGTGAGTGTGTGCACAGTCCTGCCGAAATGGCGCCCATGGTGCACAAGAGGATCCGAAAGGCAACTGTTCGGGCATAGATAATTTTCATTCGTTGTACATCAGCAGAAACATCAGGTATTTTGCACGGCGCACGCACGCTTTTTTCCTCGGACCCATGTGAAGGGCATTTTCTCTTTCTCGTTGCCGAGTGGATGGGTCATGATCATCTGCCATGGTTTCCGAACGCGAGGGTAGACTGAGAGAAGGAGGTAGTATGCGTCTAACTTAGGGCCTGTGCGACAACGCTGGCCTCTATATTGTACCGGTGGCATTTCTGGCTAATACCCATGGAAGCTCCCGATGCCTCTAGTTCACTTTGTTGCGAAGCCGCGTGCCATCATGCGCCGAGTAAACTAGTGACGTATGACTGTAATCAGTGCTTATTTCGAACTTAATGCTGCATCGTAACCACACGAGGTGACCGAGGGACTACTATACCGTTTGGATCAAAGCGACCGCGTCAGAGGTGAGAAGCGTTAGAAAAGTTTACAGTGGCGCGTTTACCGCATATCACAGAGTCGCGATCGCCGTACCGACCTTGATAACATCTGGTACGCACAGATGACAACGAGTTGACAGGCGAAGGAGAGAACCAATGAATCGGCACTGTCCTGCAATGAGTAAAACTGACTGCGGCTAGAGGGACCAGATAGTACATGTTGCTGCGAGAACTAGTGGCATAGGTCTTTCCAGACCCTGATACTGCGGTGCCGTGTCAGGGCTGGGTGCTTTACTCGGCTAAGCACGACTGGGATCAATCCGTCCGGACCTACGGCGAAGCTTCAGAGAGTATCGTCACGAGCTTGGCTTGGGAACAAAAACGCTGAAGCGCATCGCAGAGGCTACGGATTGATCGAGGTGTTTTCGAGCGCTGGAAGCGTCTACAAGGACCAGATGCGTCTACATGGGCTGAAAGTGTCTGGTATCCATAACGCAATGTCGCATTCACCGACGCTGTGTCGCAAGTTGAAGGAGATGCCTTCCGGCCAATCGCAGCCAGCGCACATAAAAGCTGGGGGAGAACTTGTTCTCCAGCCACAAACGTCCCCTCTTCGACCGCCGTTACTACCATGCCTGTCGAAAGATCTGACCCTAGAATCCGAAGGTACCTCCACCGTATTCGGATCTCAGCGAACGCTGTTTACGAGTATGACTGCGACAAGGGTGGCTTACGTGTGTGGTATTGGTGAGACGACTCCGCGTCCTGATGCATGGCTTCGCTGAAACCAGACCATACCATACCAGGCCTGTCAACAGTGAAGGTGAACGTGTAACACCCTCGGACTTGGATGAACATCGCAAGTCCCACCGCATCCATAATCCCTGCTGTCTATGCCCGTTGATAGCAGATGGACGCGAGGCCGTTGAAGCAGCAATCTTCGTCCCGCTCCGTGGGCGCGCAACAGGTGAATATGTAGCTGCGTGTGCAAAAAGCAGCTGTGGATACTATGGTGAATATACAGCTTGATTTCCAATACTAAAGGCGATACTTAATAGCTGCAAACCAGTCCACTTGGAGCGGATCTATGCTAAGACTGGGCTTCCTGTACGCTACTATCCTCCAAGGGGTGAGTTGGAAAGGTTCGGGCCTACGAAGCATGAAATACTCACCATACAATGTCTAGACGAGCTTGAACCTGTCCCTGCACCAGTCGAAATACACGCCAACGTACAGATTGAAGGTGAGTAAGCGATCAACCTTCGTCGAGTCGCAGAGCTGACTCCAGAATGAGAGCGCCGTATTGCGGATGCGCCCCAGCGGACGCGAGGGCAATCCCATACCGAGGCGCTAGTCCAGCTCTTGCGCCTGAACTCCTCCGTTCGTCCCGGACTCGAGCAGGCTGATTTTGAGGCGCTCTTCTTGAAATGCACCTGCGGTTTGATCATGATGCGGATGGCATTCTGCTACCACGAGTGTGCTGTACAGAAACATGCACATCAGGAGATAGCAGTGCAAGAAGTTATCGATCTTACTATCGATGACTCCGACGAGGATGCATAATAGATATCGTACCGATGCGTTGACGACTCAATGCGGGATGACTGTGAATAACTGTATCAGGAGCTGCACGGAACCTAATCAATACCGCCCAAAAAGTGAATTTTGGGCGCTCACCGTTGACCGCCACTCAGTTACGCCACAGACTCTGTTTCCACGCACTGCGCAGCTGAACCTTGGCCTCGAAGCTTTGCGTGAGGTCCTGACCCTCAGGTGGCTGGAGCTTAGCAAAGTTACCTGGAAGCAGTTCTGCGAAGATGTCCCCGAAGTCTCTGCGATGTATCCGATGAGCTGTCGATGGCAACGACCCGAAAAGGTGAGCGCGCGGTGACGCTCGGCTAACCAACAGAGGCGCTAAAGACTAAAGTAATCGAACGGCAACTGCCGGCAAGGATTCGCGTGGCGTGATCGAATCGTAATCTAGATGCTTAATGTGCAAAGGTACAAGTAGGAAAGAATTATGGAGATCGACACAGTCAATTTATTCTCAATCATGCGCGCACATGATTAAATTTCAGTTCACAAAATTTTCCAAAAAATGCAGCGCTCTTCTTCACTTCACTTCCTCACAAACGTCTCGAGCCGCCACTGGTAGAGGGATGAGAGCTCTCCCTTTAATCTAAAAACGCGTCAGCTGGCTCCGGCGAGCTCTAGAGAAAACTCACATGCGTATATGGTCGGGTCGTAGTTGTGAAGAGTGCGGCTGCACTGTGTCACCAACCTGAAGCCCTTTTGGAAACTGAGAAGCGTTACCTTATGCCATGTAAACGCCCTCCCGGGAATTGTGCTGGGCGGACGAAACTTGTGAAGGGAGCCTTTTGCGGCTTCGACATTGAAATTTATGGACTCAAATGCCTGCGCAATACAGGCTAAATGCAACACAGAGCGGACTCAAAAGCAAGCATACCGATACTAGCTCACGCCATCCGACGGATCCCTGAGCTTTAAATATGTTTTTGAAAGTCTGCAAGGTGAATTCAGAGGGTACTGAGTCCATAGACATTCAACTTACTGCGTAATGCCGCCCGCTCACTATTATTGTTCGATTCATGATCGATGGGTCGTAGATGAGAGAGGAGAAGAATCGAGTAGCAAGTAGAGGATAGGGAATGGACGCTGTACGTTCGGTGAGCGTAGACGGCCAGAGCCAAAGTCCGCCGCGCGAGAAGTCTCAGCTCAGCTACCTGCGGCACACTTGCAAAAGGGTAACTTTCCCAGTGTCACATCGCAGAGACAACTTTCGTGGTATGTTGGACCAAGTTAGCCCACTAAATTGCTTTTATCCATTCACAAATTGATGTTCAGGCCCTGCATCTTATAGCCATGAACTCTATGAATTCCTACAGCGGTGTAAGGGGCCCTGTATTGTTTCAGTCAGATCTCTATAAGTAGCCATCAAAGGTTTAAAAACTCGCCATATAGGGCTGCGTAGCTTTGGGGATAATACGCCGTATACCCCGGGTGGTACATAAAGGGCACGTTATTCCTGGCGTGAGGGCTGTTGGCGTAGTTCAATACCGCACGATATTCGATATCAGGAACCCCAAGAGGAGGCCACAGGTTGCTCTGGCGATGCCAAAGCAGCTCTGTACGCTGTCGACACTGGAGGCAGCCCATCTAACACGAAATCTAGATGGCATTGACAAGCTGCAGCTGTAATTAGTATGAAAGTACTGATAGGGACTCGACCCGCCAATTCTCGAAGGCAAGAAGTCCCAAAGTGGGAATGCCGACGAAATCGGCTACCAGCCCCTGGAAAGTGATCTCGTAGCTAGACCATGGCGGGATAGAAGGCTGTACGATGCTAGGATAAAATGCTATAGAGAATGAGAGGTGGGTGGGTAGAAAGGGATGCGACCGGAACGGGAAGGGGCGGCAGAAGGGCTCAAGTGAAGGAAGCAGGTGAGACCCGCAGAACCGACGCCACTTGTAAAGTCGGCGCAAAAGTCAACTTTTGGTTAGCCCCATTTAGCCACCCATCTTCTTAATTAAGGAGGTCCTCTTTCTTATTTGGGCAATTAAGGCCAATAATGGGCCCTTATTTTTCCTTAATCAAGGAAATAACACCAGTAAGCAAAAGTTGACGTAACCGGCGTCAATTGTCCGGCTCGCAGGCGCCCATTGAGGGTTTCAACAGCTAGCCTGTGAACGAGCTGGGCGAAGTCCTGGAATGGGGCCAAAACAACGACAGCATAGATCCGGCATGAGCATTGCCCAATGGTCTGCCCCAGCATACTCAGTTGCGTAGTCATTCCGGGGAGTGAAGCGCGCGCGATCACTGCACGCGCCAAAACATGTCAACAACGCGTCAACAAAGAGGACGCGTCAACAGCGCACAACAAAATTTTATGGTGGCCGGTTTGCCTTAAATTCACCACCCTTTGCTTGCTCTCTCTCTAACTTTCACCCCCGCGCGGCCCCGCCACTGCGATTGTCCGCCCCCGTCTTGGCGTCTTCTCGTTCGGTATGTCCGTCTCCTCTCGGGGACTGTGCTATCCAATGGGTTCGAAGGAGACCTATATCGCCCACTGGATGGCGCAGTTTCTACCATTCATATCCGCCGCTAGCACAGAGTCTGCGCGGACGGCAGGCTGCACGAGTTCGAAGGAGACCTGTATCGCTCGTGCTGCCTGCGGCCTGCTTTCTGCCGGCTGCTTTCTGCGAAGGCCTGTTGTTCGACCCGCGCGGGGGCTGATACTGTGCGCCACAGAGAAAAGTGTCGCCAGCATGTCTTTGGTGGTAAGCCTGCTCGCTTGCTGGCAGTTTCTCCCTACTGACCCCCTTCC